ACAATGCTATGCTGTTCTCGTAATCCAAAGATGACTGAGAGGATGGTGCGAAAGAAAGCGAACCTGGTCTTTAAAATGACTGGAAAAATAGCCTCCGTCATGGTTTCGACGATGTCTGATATTGACACTTTGCATAGTCCTCTTCGCAAACTATAGCGACCTTAACATCTTTTTTTCTTCTCCTTTGCTGTTCCATGATGATGATGATGATGATGATGTGATTGCGAAATGGATACATCGGAACTTATTCCTAGAATTCTTCCGTTCAAAATCCCCGCTTCTTGATACCTTAAATTTCAGAGAACAATAAATCACGCTTCTGGATGCTTAGTCAGATATACTGGCAGCCCTAGTTTTTCGCTAAACTTCTAGGAATTGTGTGCATTCTGGAAAGACGAAAAAAACATCCTCGACGCCGACAACCATTTACGCCAAACCGATTGAAGTCTTCCCTCTCAAATCCACGAGAGACTTTCGCAAAAATGCCTACCGAAGCCGGACACAGACGTGAGTAACCCTGATTTCGAGATAGCATTGGCTGTATGAACCTTGGAGAGGAGGAAGTAGTTAGGGAAAATTGCGAAGTTGCAGTTCTCCTAAGACGAAAGCAAATTTGTTATACTCAAGCAAGGCCACGGTTTGTTCTTGAATCAATTGCTGACTGTTGTATCTTTTTAGTCTATGTTAAGTAAGTTTACAAATTATTCCGATCAACGAGCATATTCTGGATTTGAATAGCGATATAGAGGCTGGAGGTGGGACAAGGGTCAGAGATTGATGGAGAGGAGGTTTCGACAACGCACCCACGGATTCGACTGTTTGATCGAGATGGATTATTTGAGTTAAATTACCGGACATATACTGATATGGATATCTTCAGGGGACGCCATTTGAGCTACCAACGCGGCAAGCGCAACACCACCCCAGGCACCAGCTTGATCCAAATCGAGGGTGTCAACAACACCGAGGCTGCCAAGTAGGTTATATCACGATATTGGAAGATTTCTAGATCCTAACAGAATTACAGCTTCTACTGCGGAAAGAAGGTTGCTTTCGTTTACCGTGCATCAAAGGAGGTTAGAGGATCAAAGATTAGAGTTATCTGGGGAAAGATCGCTAGACCACACGGTATGAGGAATTTGAAGTGCTTCTCGCTGAGAATCAAATACTAATTTGTGCCAAAGGAAACTCCGGTGTCGTACGTGCTAGATTCAGACAAAACCTCCCACCTAAGTCCTTCGGCGCATCCGTTCGCATCATGTTGTACCCATCATCGGTCTAAATGGTTGGTTTGGAGTTGTTAGCATGGACTGGGAGGATGGTTGATGATAAGTCATATTTGGGCACTCGAAGAGGGCGGCAATAATGAGCACAGCCTTGCGGGTAGTATACCAATTAAGCAATTCAACACCACAATGGCCGTATGGGTATATGATTAAAAGTGCATATGGGATCGTCGTGGAAATCTTCACTAGACGTAGACAGGAGTTATCGATCAAAGGTTTCACAATTACACCAGAACGACACGGAAAGATGTGCTCCTAAATCTTTTGGTCTCACCCATGTCATTTATGCTTTCAAAACGAAAATCGAAGTTTGGTACAATGGTTTGCACGTTTTACTGGTTTCTGAGAACACACATTCTGATTTTGAGACTCTAGGCAGAGTAGCGCTCTTGATAACAGTGATTTTTGACAGTCCCGCCATGTATATGGAAACTGACTTGGGTACGCACTATAAAGATGGATATTGACGTCAAGATGGAATAGTGAAATATGATATCGGTACTTGACCGGGACCCCAAATCTACGGACTCCGCACCCCCAAAGTGATCCATAGGTCTCATCCCAAAGACTTGATCCGCTAGGTTAGCAGTAATCCATCCACCCACCCTCCAATGTTCATGCATCTCCTCTACCTCTCCAATTCTTCAGCCTACATGTCCCCCACGCATATCTATATATGAATACCACACTTCGCAACACCCGTAGAATACAAGCCGCAGATTTCGAAACACAGGTATCACACGAGCTGAATATGCCACATTCATGTATTCTTAGTGCTTTATGTATAAAAATACGATCTTATCTTGATCTCATTCCTCCCAATCATCTTATGAAGAGCCTCGAGTATGGAGATGTACAGATAGGTATATAATAAATCTTATCGACCGAGAAGGTTTGGCTCAACCACCCTCGAGTTAGTTGCATACAGTTATCAAGACATATAACGAGTTTCCAAGTCTAAGCGCCCCGCCCCTCCAGTTAAGATGCCTATTGAGCCTTCACTATCTGAAACCTGAAGCTACTTTTGTTTTATTATCACCGAGTTGGGAAAGTGAGGACAGAAAAAGCGTGGCATATATTAGTAGGTTGGTAGATCAAGGTAGGTAGGATTCAGTAACATGAGATTTTCAGCTGTCGTTGCATGCATGCATTTGATGGAAAGGTAGATAGATAGTTAGGAAAGATAGATCGATATATGCCAGAAAATCAAATTGTACGTGGAAGTAGACAAGACGACAAGATGACAAGACAAGACACGACGAGACAAATACCGAGAGTTCCGATTTCCGATGAGCTGATCGCGGGAGACGAAAGAGAGTTCGTGTTTTTACCTAGCTAGTCGTTCTTCAGCCACCACCATTTTTTGTGGGGGGGGGCGACCTCATCATTATTATTTTTTTATTAAATTCTTGAAATTCTTGGGAGTGGATGGATGGATGAATGATGGAATGATGGAATGATGGATGTATGGATGGATGTATGGATGTATGGATGTATGGATGGATGTATGGATGGATGGATGGCGAAAATGAAAACAGGATTGATTGAGATGTCTATATGCTGATGGAGATGAATTGGGATGGGATAAGATGCATTGGGTTTAGGTATGGCTTGCTTGGTGTAATATTGGCATTGATAGCTGTTTAAAGGTTAATGTGAGTGGTATGGTATTATTTTCTTCACACTTCTGGAATATGCATGTCTCGAAGAGAATCAAGAGATGGATGGGGGGTTGTTGGTGAATACTACTAGATATTAGGTCGTTACTCTTAAAACTTCAAGTCCAACTACGATGGACCAGGTCGGTCTCTAGAGGACTAGGTAGGTAGGTAGGTAGGTAGTATTCTCTCTATATAGAGTGTGATATTGTATTGTATTGTTAGATAAAGCTCGGAAACATGGCAGTCTCCGTTGCTTTGTTGCGCTACCTAGCTAGGTACACCAGGTAAGAAAACGAGAATCCGGCAATGTTGATGGTGGAATTGTGAAGAGAATGAAAATGAAAATGAAACTAAAAATAACTTAATAATGTGACTAAGGATAAGTATAAGAATACTAATACCCAGTAGTCATGGAAATACCGTTACTTCTTCTGCGTTGGTTCGAAGCTTTGAATGCACCAGAACTTCCCAGAATCCCAGAATCCCAGAAATCCCAAGAAATCCCAGAATCTCAGAATCGCAGATGCATCACTGATACTCGCACAGCACCAAAAGAGGATTCTGACCCGGGATATAAATAACTTGATTAGGACTAGTGGTAGATCATTCTTTTATCGTTTGATTTACTTTCCATTCATATCACCACACCATCACTTTTATGATCCTTTCCCTATCTTTCCATGCCATCCCTGCTTGGTAAGTTGTAACGAAAGAGCATACGAATTCCTGTCGCAATTGCCATTGTGGTATCGCTGGACTTCGGATCGAAACCAAGTTTCCGATGAGCGAAGAGTCTCTCATTGGTGGTGGGTGAAAGATTTTCATCCAAGCCATTCCCATTGAGAGACGTATCGACTTCGTACGATACTACCATACTACGATACTACCATACTACGGTAGGACAGCATACAGAGCATTGCTTGCTACGTCGATGGGATTTGTTGTTGGCTTACGAGTGAATCACGAATCAAAAGTGTACCTGGATGCGAGATATGTAGGTAGGTAGGTAGGTAGATGTAGATACTAGGTAGGTGTGACATCTCAAGATGCAAGAAAGCTATACGAATTACGAATTACGAATTCCGCAAAGCTTTAATATTCACTGGTGGTTTAAACAACTACCTAGTACCAGTAGACAACTTGGACAAGAGCTCCTCGTCATCAAAAATACCCTAATACCTAATATTATACTTTTTCCCTTTGCCTAGTATGGAATCCATCGACGGATGATAAATATTGATTCTGCTTCAAGACCCCCCTCCAGTGGCTGAATAACATTGAATGCTTCGTATTAACTTTTCTCTTTCCCCGCGTAAAGTACGTATGGTCGTATTTTTATTCTATACCTCTCTCTCTCCCTCTCTCTCTCTCTCTCCCTTTTCTTGTTCTTTGAGAAACACATTTGATTCTTTTCTCAATCATCATCAATCGTTTATTCACCTCCATTCTTCGTTTTCCTATTACCTACCTACGTACCTACGTATTAGGTGCGCACTTTGTGAAGGCTTGAAGAAAATAAGCTGGGCAAATAAACAAACATAAAACAAATCTGCATTCATCGGTCATCCTAAAAGAAAAAAAGGAAAGAAGAAGAAGAAAAAAACACTCGTTGCAGGATTTTCGATCAAAGTTCTGATTCACATCATACGAAACCATCAATCGTTATATCTGGAGATTATTTTTTGGGAAAAAAAGCTTAACATCAAACGCATTTTTGATCGTCTTCAAACTATCCACTACCGTCGTTCCATTTATCAAAACATCAGGTTTTTAATTCTCATCAAGCTTAATTCAAACATTGTGAAACGGGATATCTACTTCTGATATAAAGCCACCAAATTCCCAACCACCTACTTTTGACGTTCACGACCGAGACTCAGACCAAAAGGACCAACTTCATTTCAGAGTTCCACAAATATCCCTACAAATCTCTCGATATTACTCCACCACACCCAGGTTTCACGACGATAAGGCTCAGAATATCTTGATAAAAGTTGTAATAGACCCACAACAGCGACAATCACTGTCCACTTATCGACTTATACTTAGAAATATGCAAAACCAAAATCACCCGCTACCCTCGCCCCCGGGCAATCAAGAGCGGCCTGGGAACCGCCAAAGATCGAAGACTTCGTCTGGCTTCAGTTTGCATTCTCATAAGAGCAGTGGCAGTGGACAGAAACTTGATCTCACAGAAACACACCGAGAGAAGGAAGCAAAAAGACTTCATTCCAAAGCTGATCCATCCCTGGCCATGACGGAAGCCGAACCTTGTGAGTACTCATTCAAATCAAGGGATTGCACAATTCACATACTGACGATACCATCGCAGCTGCTGTTGCAAACGACGTTGCAACTTCATTAGCACCCATTCGAGCGATTCAACACAGAGACAGTCAGGGAAACCCCATCGGTTCGTTATCTTGCTCACTTTCACCATAAATCTTGTGCGCTGACTTCTTTTCTACGTAGCGGATCCCGATCGTTCAAATCCTACGAGAAGCAGATGGGAGAGACCTTTGGATACAATTCGAGCCTTTGAGGCAGCTATCGATGGAAACTATTCTTCAAGGAAATCAATGATACGCGGTTCTGGTAAAGAATTCCCATGCTTCTTGGTGCTCAGGATTTTGGCCTATCAATTCTGACGTTTTCACTTCACAGAATCCGATGTAGGCTCAACATACAATCGACGAAACAGTTACTATGCCGGTTAGTGTATTCCAATCATTTTTCTCATTTTTCTTGTTTGCAGAATTTTCTGCACACTACTTTTAAGACAGTTATCCATCCTGTTTTTTGTTGGATTTGAGCGCTCAGACTATGGTGGTCTGTGGTCTGTGGTAATGGCCAATGCCAATTCACCAACCGAGCACATTTTCGATGAGCTGAATGGGAATTTGGTATCTTGCATGCTCTAGCGATTTTCGTCTCCCAGTGGATTCTTGGCGCAAAGCGCGTGAAATTGACAACTGTCGTACATACGCTAACAGATCGCCATATAGCAAGTCAAATGCACAATGACGAACGACCAAGGTACTCTCAGCAGAGCTATTATGGAGGAGGACAACAACCTAACAGACAAAGTAGCCACTATGGTGGTGACGGACGGCCGAATGGAATGACCAAGCCCGATAGTTATTATACTACCGATAATCATGGAGGTCATGGCAATGGATATACTCCAAACAGATCTCGATATCCTCGAACAGCATCAGAACCACAATTTAACAGTGGTGTTTACACCGCACCTGGAGGCCAACAACATTCATATGAAACTGTGACAACTGCCTCCGGTAGTGGAATGTCTGGAGACGCTGCAGGATACTCAACCGACCCCAGCAGCTTGAATAGTTCAGTAGATGGGCTTCATGCACTACCGCAACAACAAAAAGAACCTGCCGAGACATATGGATTCAATGGGTTTGGAAATAACCCCCAATACCCTCCACCTGGAAATGGCATCAATGAGCAAAACGGGGCGCGAAGACAGCCGATTGGCCAAGGACCTCCGCCTTCTAACCATGACAGCACACCACGAACTCCAATCAACCTTGGTATCACCAGTGAAAACTCTTTACCTCAGAAATCGGTTGTTCAAATCACCAAATCAGATGCTAAGCCTCAACCCGAAAAACGGAAAAGTTGGTTTGGAAGAAGGTTGAGCAAGAATAAATAAGATAGATGCTGGTCATCCTCCAATATCTATCACGCTATTTACAATCTAATACGGATATGAGGAGAGAATAATCTTGGAGTGCATTGTTGGATGTATGGTATGGATTGTGTTCTAATGATATTCATGACGGGCAAACATAGGGGGTGGGGGCCAAGGGATATAATGGAATACACTTGGAAGCGGTTGGATGGTTTTTGCATCGGAAGGCGTCTGGTGTTGTGTTTCTTTGTGTCCACTACTATTCCCAAAAGTTGGTTAGGAAAGGAGCTGTGAGCTTGCAGGCCTTATGTCTGGCCTTAATTGGCTCCTTTGCCTAGAAGAAGATGATTGGTGATGCTTGAAGCCGACGAGTTTGGATGTGGATGGCTTGAATATGAAGATGAATATCTATCTGTCTACATAGTTCACAATGATTTAACAAACTTCTATCTACCCGATTTCTGGCATATTCATGATTTTATCTCCCCTATTATCACTTGGCCTTTGTGATGTGATTATTTGTTTTGTTTTTCCTCTAAAAGATGACTGACACATGACTTATTTTGATGTGATCATTCTTCACACAACCAAAGTCATCCATGGATTCTCATGATCGTAACGTTTTCAAATATGCATGACCGGTACCTAGTGTACTTCGATATATGAGTTTTCTTCGTCCACCGTCTCGCGATCTTTATCCACCACTATCTTTGTGGTCATGGTCAACTGATTTGATTTGATGTGATTTGACCTTTTGTTTCTTCCGTAGGATTTATGATGATTGATAGGAAAAAGATGAGCTATGAGAGAAACTCCTGAAAGTCTTTTTTGAGAAAGATGGATAGATAGATAGATAGATGAAAGTCGGGATTTGTATACTCGTGTAGGTAGGTAATGAAGGGAGAAATTTTTTTTTTTTCTGTTTGTGGAGAGATTTGACGAGGGAGTTTTGTTGTGTGGGAGGTGCAAGAGAGATCTCTTGTGTTATGTAAGACGAGGGAAAGATTCCCGAGGATGAGGCTTGCAGGAAAGTGCTCGTATAAGACTCGGACAAAGTTCCTCGTCTACAAAGACTTTTTGGATTCCTCTTCCTTCGCGGCGGCTTCAAGTGCTTCGCTCTGATCTTCTCTCATGGCGACGATTACGTAGCCGATGAGGACGACGTTGGCCATTATGGCGGCGGTGGCGCCGGCAAAGGTGGAGTTTCCTGGAATGTGTTAGGGGAAGGGAGATGGGAATTGGGATGAGAAGGGGGGGAGTACCTCGAAAGATGGAATTTAGAGTTAGGAAATAGGAACCTATTGGAACGACGATCATGGCGAGGGTGAACCCGAGGAGTTTGAAGATTACATGTCTGGTGAGGGAGGGATGTTAATTGGGAGGTTGCAAATTTGAGGATGGGTGAGGTGGTTTGTTCATGTGATGAGAGGACTGGAAGGAGAGGGGTGAGACGAGTGAATGTGAGGAGGGACATGTGATGGTGATGATAATCATGAGACTGATGTGAAAAATGAGACATATTGTGAAATTAGAAAAACATACGCAGGAACAGCAGGAGCAATATTACTCTTCCCTCCAGCAGCAGGTTTGAATTCTGCTTCTTTTTCTTCGCCGGCGGCGATACGGTCGTAGGGTGTTCGTCTTTGAGTCGCCATTGGATTGGTTTGTGAGGAGGTGAGGGGTATAAAAGGTTAAAATAGATGTATGTTTTTAGTACTTATGTGGAGATAGATGAGCAATCGGCTTTTGTTCAGTGATGTTATTGAACTTTGATTGTGACGATTGTTTTTTCTTGTAGAGCTGGATATCTGGCTGGCTTGTCTCTGTGGAACAATTCGATATATATGTATGTATGCATCAATTAGGAAGCGGAAGTGGAAGTAGACACTGCTGACTTCGCGCATCTCGCGAAAGAGGGCAATATGGGGAACGCGTTAATTGGATTTTTACTAGCGTGTTAGCGTGTCTTTTCATTGAGCGATAGTGGATCTTTTACTAAAACCAAAAGTTATTTCTACGACCTAGCTATCGTTGGTCAGAATAGGGCAGAATAAAGACCACAACGACAAAAGGATTGAAGGGTCAAGATTGATGGAACATTGATAAGAAGGTACGAGGAAAGCTCATCTTGGGAAATTCACTTTTGTTTTTGTCAGGGGGATCATTGAAAGGATAAGCTGGGGAGTTAAGGTGAACGAACGGCTGTGCCATCTCGCTGTCTGCAGTCTCGCCAGTTCGCAAGATTTCTTGTTCCTCTACTGCTTCTTCTTCGTCTTCCTATACTGCAATAATCTCTGGGAACGCAACCTATCTTGGATCAGGAATGTTCTGGACATTCTACCTGGAGAAATCTTGATTTTTAACGGGAAACAATTGCAGATTGCGAATCTACATCGACCAAGATCCAAACTTTATATTAATCTGATTCAATTGTTGCTTTTACAACTTGCAATTCTATCCTCCTTTAATTTATCGTCGAAGAACGAAACGCTCTCTATTTCTCATTCCAACAACATAACGACAGAAACGAATTATGGCTTCCAATTTTCCCAACCCCTCTCTTGTTCTTGATTCGCCTGCGGTAAAACGGCAAAGAACCGAATCAGGTTATACATCTATCAACAATTCTGCGAGAAACACAGATACCTATAATTCAGATGCGGACGATGGGGATGATCTTTTCAAGGATTATGTGCCTGACACGCCAGCGACAGCGAAGAAATTCGAAACACAGCCTACACAGATTATAGGTGCTGCTGGGAAGTTCGAGACTCAACCCACGCAGATTGGACCCACTACCAAGAAGTTCGAGACTCAAGCTACCCAGATAATCGATCGATCTGCTTCGCTGGCATACCCACCAAGTTCTCCAAATATCAACAGCTTGAATGGCGTACAAGTACCTGCTTCATCACCTTTACGACAATCGCCTACACCAAGGAAGTTTTTGGCATCTGCAATGGCACCCGCTGGTACTGAATACAGAGCACCATTTGGAATCAATCAAAAGCCTATCGCCCCTCCAAGGAAGATTATCAACTTGGACAGTGATGACGATGAGCCGTCATTTGTTGGAGATAGTTCTGATGATGATGATGACGAACTAGCCAGTGCGGATATTAAGCCTACATCGTTCGTTTCAAAGAGTGCTTCTTTTGGGTCTACAGGTTATCCAGATGCTTCGCGATCATTCAATGGCAATTCTAAATTTCAAAACGCTCTCGCCAAGGCTGTATACAATCCACAGAAAGGCATGAAACAACAAGGTCCGGAGAGAGCCAGGCCAGTCCAGGATATTTCGATCAACGACATTCCAGATGGCGAGCTTAGAATGAAAGCTCAGCGCATCAAGGACATCTTTCCAGGGGTATCTATCATGGAGGTCAAGGATGCTTTGCTTGTGACCAAATACGATTTTGATGCTGCTTGTAGCTTGCTTGCCAAAGATAAGCCTATTGAGGTGTCCGACGATGAGGATGAAATTAAAGAGATTGCTGCCTCAGAAATGGCCGAACCACAGATGAGAAGAGGTCTCGCGAAACCTATTAAGTCAATCAGGGACCGATATACTTCTACCCAAAATCAGTCTACGCAAAGACCGGCTCAAGTACCTGCTCAAGCTACCACGCCACCGAAAACAAGGAAGAGACTTATGAAAGGACGTAGAGATCCAACTTCACCTGCAGCTGCTTCTTCTCCAGTCAAATCTCCAGCCAAGTCTCCTGTGAAATTGGCTTCATCCCCAGTCATCATAGATATGTCTGATGATGATTCTGACCTTGAGCAGGAGGAGGAAACCGAAGAAGATCCTATTCTGGAGGATCGACTACTCAAGTACTTGAACAAATGCACATTGGATGATCTCATTGAACTTACCAATACCACCAAGAATAACGCGCAAGCAATGCTGGACAGTCGACCTTTCAGGAGTCTTGATGCTGCGAGAAACGTGTCAAACGTTAAGACTTTAAAAAGTGGCAAGAGAAGTGCAAAAGCTCCCATGGGTGAACGTCTCGTGGAAACTGCTTTGGAAATGTTTTCTGGCTACGAGGCTGTGGATCTCCTTGTCAAAAGATGCGAGGATCTCGCCAAGCCATTGGAAGCTGAAATGGCAAAATGGGGATTCAATTCTTTTGGAACTCGCAAGGAGGGAGAAGGTATTGAACTCGTATCTTTCGAAGATGCAGATTCTCAGCGCGATTCTGGAATTGGCACTCCAAGCAGCACTTTATCTACCAATGGCGAGAATGCTGATGAGGACAAGGTCGTATCCGCCAAACGCAGAAAAGCGAGTGTCGAATTCTTGAAGAAGCCCTCGCTTATGGCAGATGAGGTTGTTCTGAAAGATTATCAAATTGTTGGCTTGAATTGGTTGAATTTGATGTACGAGCAGAACCTGAGTTGTATTTTGGCAGATGATATGGGTCTTGGAAAGACCTGTCAAGTCATTTCGTTTCTTTCGCATCTTGTGGCTACTGGTCGGACAGGTCCCCATGTTGTTTTTGGTCCTGCTGCTGTTTTTGAGAATTGGTGTCAAGAGTTCCAGAAGTTTGCTCCAAAATTGGCTATTCAACCTTATCATGGTAAGTTCAACATATATAGCTTCATCTCGAGTATCTGAGGGTGCATTGGCTAATTAATTTTCAGGTCCTGCAGCTGAACGTGTCGAGTTGGCTGAGTCCATACTGGAAAATCGAGATGATATTAATGTCATTGTTTCTACCTACGATATGGCCGTCAAGCCTGCTGATAATAAGTTTTTCCGGAAGCTGGGAGCTGATGTAAGTCTTCAACAAGGATTAGTCTGATTTCAATTACTAAGTAGCCTTAGGTTCTTGTTTGTGATGAAGGTCACATTTTGAAGAATGGAGCGACTCAAAAGAATCAAGCTCTGAATAGGATTCCTGCTAGCTTTAAGCTTTTACTGACGGGTACGCCACTTCAAAATAATCTGGTTGAATTGGTTACTTTACTTGCATTCATTCTTCCGGATGTTTTCAAGGAACGAGAAGAAGACTTGAATTACATTTTCAAAGCAAAGGCTACAACTCGAGATACTGATCATGGAGCATTGCTTTCCGCTGAGCGTATTACTCGAGCCAGATCTATGCTGACCCCATTCGTCCTACGACGGAAGAAGCATCAAGTTTTGAAGCATCTCCCTACAAAGTTGTGTCGGGTTGAACGTTGTAGTTTGGAGCCAACACAGGCTAAAATCTATAACGAGCATGCAGATGCAGCGAAAGAACGGGCACGCAGGCGTCTTGAAGGTGTCAAGATGCCACCTTTGAAATCTGAAGAAAATAATCCAACTATGCAACTTCGCAAAGCAGCTATTCATCCACTACTTTTCAGACGCCACTTTACGAATGAGAAGATTGAGAAGATGGTCGATATTCTACGAAAGAAGGAGCCAGATAATTTCCCTCCCTCTGCTAAACGAATCCATCTTGTGGAAGAGATGCGCAATGCTTCGGACTTTTGGTTACACACATGGTGTGTATTATATCCATGTATCAAATCGTTTGATGTTAAGAAGAATGCATGGATGGACTCGGGGAAGGTGTCTGCCTTAGTGGAGCTTGTGACGAAATACAAGGAGAATGGGGATCGGGTTCTTATCTTCTCTCAATTCTCGCTTGTTCTCGACATTCTAGAATCTGTATTGAATACTTCCATGATCACATACACTCGTATCGATGGTGCTACCAAGATTGATGAACGTCAATCTTTGATTGAAAGATTCAGGGATGATACTGATATTACAGCTTTCCTCTTGACGACTAAGGCAGGCGGAACAGGTATCAACTTGATGTATGCCAACAAAGTCATTATCTTCGATGGTAGTTTCAATCCTCAAGATGATGTGCAAGCAGAGAATCGTGCTCATCGTGTGGGTCAAACTCGCGATGTGGAAGTTGTCAGGTTAGTCACTCGTGGCACGATTGAAGAAGCCATTTGGAAAATGGGTAGAAGTAAGTTGATGCTGGATGGAAGAGTGGCAGGGGAAGAAGGGGAAGAAGCGGGTGAGAGGGCCGTGGAAAAGATGCTGTTAGAAGGTGTCACAATTACGGATGAGGAAGCGGCCCCTGTTGCTGAGGGTCATGAAACTACACCCAAGAAAAATGTGAAGGGCAAGGCGACGGGGCAGAAACTACCGGATAGGAAGAAATCGGGCACGTTTCTCGATTTGGCGATGAAGGGGGCGAAGAAAGATGATGAGGATGAAATGCTTGTTTGAGATGGTTGGCTAATATATTGGTCGTACATGCTAAGCACAATAAGCGAGTTGGATTGTTTTCAACAATGTGATCGGGGTTTAATGCTAGAAGGTGGTTCTGTTTGCGTCGTCATATTATTTGCATTCAGTGGACCTTTTGGACTGGGGTGGCGTTTTGAGCTGTTTGGTATGGATTGACGAGGCATAAGACGTAATATGGGGAAGAGTTTAAGCGAGCGAGATTTGGGGAGGATTTGACTCATTATCTACTTTTTTTTTCGCTCGTATGCATGAGAAAGGCGATATGTCTGTATAAGAAGTTGAGAGGCATGAGCATAATGTGGATAGGGGGAATATGTTACGGTATACATAGATTACAAGACGCACTGCCAATGGGTGGAGGCGGTAGAAAGGTAGTGGATAAATTTCAGATGGCGTGTTGGATTCCTAGTGGAGATGTGTAGATGAGAGCTAGATGGAGGCTGATTAGATACCTGGGAATGGATGAATGAATATACAAATATCTAAAACTTCCATGCATACCACAAGATTATCAATAGGAACGCCAATCTATAGTAAGAATCAGTCCTGAATCTCCACTCGACGATTTTATTTTGAGGAAGGCAAAAGCCGACGCGGTATAGTTTGAGAAACAGGATGGTTTGAGAGAAGCACCAGTGGTTGCGTGCATTTATGGGACGCGCCTTAAACTTTAGACATTCATATTCAATGCTAATATCATTTGATTATCATGAAAACAGATGGATTGTTTTGTTGTTTGATCCTTACAAGAATTGTGATTGAAACCAAGAGTAGATATTTATTTACTCAAGGTACGCTACAACTACCAACCTAATTAGCCCCAACCCTGGTGAATTTAGCCTGTGAACTAGTTTCAAGCATGCACAGGCCAAGCATCACTTTCGACTCGGAAAAATCTCCAAGAGATGTTCATCATTGATATTGACATCTCGAGCTGAACGGAATTATGTGCATACCAAAGTCGTGTACCATTTCAATATCCGACTTTTAATCAACACATCAATATTTTTTTTATTTTTTTTCAGCTAGGATTGTTCCGGAGCTTAACATTATTTATATCAAGAAGACATGGCTGTTATATTGCACATCTAAATACTCTTCATTTCTGATGACTTGGTGCGCATGTAGTTTCGTTCATCTCGAGGATGTTTGATCAATTGCTCTCAAGCTTGAACCTTCACCTAGAATATATATGTATGGGGGTGCACTTTCTTTCTTTGGATCACGTTGGATTTGGGTAGGACATGGGTAGGAAAAGGCTTGAATCTTCGAGTCATAATTTTGGAGAAACGTCTATTACTGACTCCAACTGCAGATATTCTATCTTGGGCTTTTATGCGCCGCGCGATTTGACCAATTGGAACAAACCCATATTCCTTGCAACAAGACTGCTACGCCGTGGATTAGATTGCTTGTGGGAAAATATTCGTGATAAAGCCATCCGAACCTGGACTAGATGAGATTCTCATTAGACATCATAGGGAATATCAATATTGATGGTTGATTATCTACACAGTTTTTTGAGAGTTCAAAATGCCATACCAAGTGACACTGTGACTGATTTAGAGAACAGCCCCATCACTCATTCCTGATCTCAAGGCATGCCCATGACGTATGTACTCGGCACGCTTCTGGTCATCCAGACAACCACTGTGTTGAAAAGGGAGAACGATGCGCTGCAGGGTACTGTGGGATGTAATCAGATGCTACACCAACTGGATATGGCAGGTTGCAATACCTCCCCTGGTCGCCCCTATCAATGGTAGAGCAAACAAGGAACATGAATACATGTCCCTGCAGATTGTTGATTCCTTACTGTTGGAATCAGGAGTTCCGTATCTAGTCCTTACGCAAGCTATGTTTCACTGCTCCATTGGGATGACTTATTCTATTTATTAGTTATTATATAACTGGTGTGCAAGTGACAACAACCTCGAAACACCATTCTGCAGAGCAGCGTAGAGCTTGATATCTCGAATCCGACACTCTTTGAATCATTGATTTATCTTGGATCTACAGTAATAAACTTGAACCAACTAGAATCAATAAGTATGCAGAATTATTCTCAAAAAAAGCTCAAAGAAGCCAGAGATTTCATTGACGATTTGCAACGTCAGAATGGCGGAATCAAAAAAGAGTATGAAGAAATTCTGGAGCGTGACTTTCCTGAAGTTTTGGAGACAATCAGGAACATGCGAAGAAAGCTCGGGGTCTCGACTCAAATGTTTGTCTTTTTCACGATCAATGATGATTTCGTTTTCCCTGAAGGCAATCGTGCTTTGCTAACTTTTGCAGTTTGACTGAACAGCTCTATCAAAAGTCTACTCGCTTTATCTACGAGATCATCCAAAATGCGGAAGACAACAGATACACAATCTCAAACAAGTTGCCCTTCTTGTCTTTCACTCTCCACTCGGACCGCCTCATTATAGACTCCAACGAAGATGGCTTTACCCCGAAGGACATCGAAGCTATATGTTCCATTGGCGAGAGTACTAAAGCATCCGTCCAAGGCTATATTGGAGAAAAGGGCATCGGCTTCAAATCTGTCTTCAACGTTGCTCATAAAGTCCATATCCAGTCCGGGCCTTATTCCTTTGCATTTGAATATTTCAAGGAGAATTCCAAGGAAGATTCCAAGGAGGATTCTAAAGATTGTGGACTTGGAATGGTTACACCGATGAATGAGACCCCACATGAGCTTCCCGATGATGTTCGAACAAGGATGGTCTTATATCTCCATGTGAATAAAGATCGAGAGGCATTATGTCAAGATTTGCTAAATTTGCCAGACACACTACTACTGTTTCTCAAAAAGCTACGGCAACTGACTGTCAAATTTGAACTTCTTGATAGGGATGTTCACAAAGTCCAATTCTCTCTGACGCGTCCAAAAAACAATGGTCTCTCTGAGAATATAGTTCAGACTAAAACCGCAATCACGGGTACAATCAACTCTGTCAAATATAAGAGCTTCTGGGTCAAGAAGCGCCACGTCATCAATCTCCCTGCTGATTCCGCTCGTGCCGAAATCCGTGAAGCTGAAGTCATTCTAGCCTTTCCTATTGATGAAGATCATGTACCAGTCATTGAAGAACAATATGCTTTTGCGTTCCTTCCCTTGAAAAAGACCGGGTACAAGGTAAGCCAAGCTCGAAGATGTACAATTGTTAATACTGAAGCTAACTTGAATGATAAGTTTCTCATACAATCAGATTTTATTACCAAAGCCAGCCGAGAAGATATTGTGGATTCTGTGTGGAATAGGCAATTACTCGAGGAAGTGGTCGCAACATTCAACAGTGCAATCAATGATCCCAATGGGTTTCTTGAGCACGACACACTTCGATACAGCTGGATCAGATATATTCCCACAACAGCTATTACAGATGAATTCTGGGGACTCCTGCAACCCAGCTTGTTTGGCAAACTTTGCACCAGTAAATTCTTCTTTTCTCTGGATGGATATCGCTGGGCACCTCATCGTTTGCGGGTTTTGCAGAACACCTTTCGAGACGAACATCGCAATCCTCTACTGGCAGATAGTATTGTAGGCACATCTGTGTACGTCTCGGAGTCTTACGATGCTTCTGATATTCCTATTTTGGAAAAGATGAAAGCAAAGCATCTAGATACCGGGGATTTTTTGCAAAGACTAGAGGAAGATCTTGTTCGAACTCATGATTCTCGAATGAAAACTACGCCTCTGAGCAGCCCTTGGCATACGAAAATGGCAAATCTTCTCATTACTATGGGTCAGGATGATAGCAATAAAATGAAGATACAAAAACTGAACATCATACCGCTTGACAGTGGGGTGTGGGCTCGTCCACTGAATGCGAGTATATTTTTCCCAACTTCGGGTGGTGTTGACATACCGAAGGCTCTACCTCTGAACTTGGTCGACGGAGAAGCACTTGGAAATCCGAGCAGGAAAAAGCTCTTTTCGCAACTTGGGATAGCTGAGTGTTCACCAGAACGCATATTTCCTCTCATTGAGCAACGATATAAACTCTCCAATCGGAAGACTGATTCTGTTTCCGATATCAAATTCCTTTTCTGGCATCATGAAAAGCTCCCAGCTAATTGTTCAATATTCATGTGGTTATGGAATGGGGAATGCGTTTTACCACGTAATATTAATGACGGCGACTGGATTTATTGTAGGGAATCCAATCATGCATACGCAACGATCAAAATTATTGGTGAATCTATACCAATCGAGATAAAAAATGGCAGCCATGTCAGATATCCAGAGAAGAGTTACTACAGCGCTCTCGAAGCTTGTGGCATTCGAAATGGGCACACTGGAATTGAGTGGCTTCGGTCTCTTGGGATTAAAGAGACGCCGCAACTACGGCGTAGAGAGAATTCTTCAGATCCAAAACTTTCGATAGAATTCAAGCACATTTTAAAAAATCTTCCGAAACATATGCTTGGCACGTTGCAAGCAGATTGGATGCAGTACAATGAGACGGAAAAATGGGATAATTTCTTCAAGCAAAGGAAGGTTCCCATCCTTGCCTCATCGGCGATGATGAGTTTAAAGGACACATATCTACCAGTATCAAAGCTCAAAGGTATCGTTACAAGTCTGGGACTAGAAGAAGGATTCGGCTTTTTGGAGGAGTTGGATGGTATCTCTGAAATTGAGGTTTTCAAATGGAGCTTTCTCAAGCGATTCGGAGTTGGGGTGGATGAAGATGTTTCATTTTGGCTGAGGTTACTAAAGCAAGCTAGACAGAAAGATTCAATCAACCCCAGCATTGTCTTCAGAATATACTCAAGGTTACAAACCTACATTGATGAGTCAGACATTATAAGAATCAAGTAAGTCACCTAATGCCCAGAACTATTCTGACATAATCCGATCAACTAATGCTTATTAGGGAAACCTTTGAAGAGAAAATGATCTTTGTTCCCAGATCCAATTCTACCACGGATGACTGGGAGTGGAATAATGATGATGAATGTGTATGGAGTGGCCCTGAGTGGTTTGAACACAAGCCTCGTCTTCAAGCCATCAAAGAATATCAGATACTACAAGCGCTGTTTGTAAATACTGTTGAGATTCCCGATGCCACGTTGAATGACTTCCTAGAATATCTGGATTGTATTAAACTTCTTGACCAGAACGAATCCGAGGGCAACTTCAACGAACAGAAGTACAAAATCATCTTGCTGTATGATAAGCTCAACGAATTAACGGAAGATGGTAGCAGCTTAGAAGAAGTGGAAACAGTAAGGTACGTATTTAACACAAGCTAGCAAATGGTCTTTTTCTGATTAAGCAGATCGTGTATCGAGGAAAGCAGCCTTCTTTACTACCCTCCAAACAAGTTATGGTATGCCCCATCATCGTGCGTCTGGGCCACAGAAGATATCCAGCTCCCAGAGAAGATTTCTATCGCCACCGAATACAAGAATCAACGGACATTCTTTAGAAATGTGTTGGGTGTTGCGAAGCCAAATCTAGAAATGCACATTATTGCGCTCCAGAAACGCGCTCTTGAGAACCCAGATAAGGAGGGCATTCTGCGCGAGCTAAGAAACATATGCGCACTCAATCCGACTGTGGCATTACGAGATAAACTTTCCAAATGCAAGTGTTTCCCAGTATATCGACCATCACAGGAGGTTGAATGGTTGGACAGCACTGATAGCTTTGCAATTGTTGATCGTAAAGAGCACGGTGATGTTTTTAGGAACAAGATCAATGTGCTTGACTTTTCATTAGAAGAAGTCCATTCTGTAAATCAATTTCTTGTTGAGCTCGGGCTTGAAGGAAGATTCACATCGAGGGCTGTGAAAGAGGACACAAAGATCGAAGATGGTCTGTTAAGCGATGCGCTGACAAACGATTTGAGAAGAAAAGCATATGCCATCTGTCGGTAAGAGATATCTTTTTGAGCTGTTTGAGATTCATTTGCTAATGTGGAGCTCAAGGTATGCCGCTCATTATGGGAGTAACAATTCTAGATCTGCCTATGATTTACTGCAGGCTCTTGAGGTCTTCACAAGCGAGAGCATCACTAAGGAGGTTTCTATCACCCAGAACAAGAAGATCATATCGGTAAAAGTGCATACAGCGTTCTTACATATTGTGCAAGATAACAACCAACTTAAACTTTACGTTCCTAAGGAGCAGCGACAGAGGGAAGTCTGCTTGTCGCGCCAGCTACCCATTGAATTGCTCAAGCACCTTGGAGTACATAACTTCCGCAAGGGAGCTGAGCTCGGCTCTGTCATCAGAGCTACTAGTTCTTTTGCTATAGATGCAATTCTTGATTCAGATGGAATCATTGATGTACCCGGAATCTTCCCCCCAGATGATTATAGCGAAAGCGAGCCACCAGCGTTTGACGCCTCTCAGGATATTTCCAGCCCAGCCATCACTACTGATGTAGAAAGCAGAGTAACATTGCTCGAGCCCCACTACCGTGACGAGCCTCCTACCGAGCGTCATTACGTTCGAGCCCAATTAATTGATAATTCCCTTCGGACGCTGACTACGCCCGGCACATATCCGCCTGAAATACCCCCTGAGCGACCCGACCTTTTCAAAGAACTTCTAGACGCAGTCATCAAGCAAGCACGTAGCGTGCACGGTATACCAGCGGTTGACGATGTCCTGATAGCTGCCCTCTCTACTAACGCTCGTTCCGACACTAGCCTAGCTGTTGGCTCAAATGTGGCTGGAGAAAGCTTGTTTAGAATTGGCGTAGCTGGAGAGTTGTTTGTACGTGTCTTCGGAAAGTGTTTATTGTGGCTTTTCAATTTTGCTAATCTCATCTAGATGTTTGAAATAATGAAGAGCCTTGGCCTGCCCCTTTTCGATCTGGGAAATTGGAGAAGCACGATTCGACATCGAGTGACTATCCACAATGAATACAAAGATATGCCTCGCTGGAGTGGCTCCGAAACATCAGATATCGTATATGAAGACCATGACAAAATGTTGACTTCATTACTTATCACAAACAACTACTTTAACACTGAGGAACTCGGAAGACTGAGGTTTGCAAGTTCTTCTACATATTATATCGAAGTCAAAACAACACCTGGGCCACTTGATAATGCATTCTATTGTAGCCAAGGCCAATTCGACAGGATGGAAAGTATGAAGCTACAATCCGATCAACTAGTGAACGAAGTTTACTTGGTTGCTAGGGTTTTCAATCTTGGAGCTTCAGGTATGGGTTACAAATTGTATGTGGATCCTGCTGGATTGCGGAGGAAAGGACAGCTTAAGTTTACGGCGGATAAATATATTGTGACATCGTAAGAAGACCACAATAAGGTTGATGGTCATAAGCGAATTCCATCTCACTCGAGGTGTTCCACAGCAGGTGCTATAGTCTAGTTCGTGCTCAAGCGTGATCGGATCTTTGAGGAGGCTAAAATTATCGTTCCACAAATACAATGTTGAAACCCCTCAAGCCATTGTATTTCAGTCTAATCATTGAGCTAATTTGTACTACTGGGTGTGTTTGCAATCAGTTTGATATTTGGAGTAGAAAAAAAAAGAATGATGATAAAGTTGATGTTAGTGACTTCTCTTGGTAGATCCCTTCCTGATTGGTGGAACGGTACAGCAGTCCTCGATAGACTTAGAGGATATGTATGTTGTACCTGTCGAAATTAGTTGAACCAATCAATCACTACCATCATTATTATCGTTTTATCTTTAGAAATATGGACTTTATCAGCAGAAACAAAGGCTCAAATGGAAGTAAAGACAGACCCCGAAACATTCCTGCTTCTACCACCAGCAAAACCTCTCTATAAAAATACTGGTTTTTATAGTCTTCTCTTAGAACATGAGGTTATCTTTACAAAGGGCTTTTTAAGGCTTTTCAGGATGTAGATCATTTTTGAACCTTAAAACTGGACCTAAAAATATGTCCTTATAGATAGGTGCTACAATATACCACTTACAGCTTTCGAGTACAACGACAATGTCGATTTTACGTATAGATGATTTGGATGCAAGATAACCAGTCGGGGAAAACGGGCATTTGAAGTGCGAATGCCTCAGCAACTTTCCATTTTACGTATATATGATTCGAAAGCATGACAACCCGTCGGGGAAAAGAGACATTCGAAGCGCGAATCTCTTCACAATTCCCCACTTCACAAATCTGTGGAACGCAGAGCTGAAAATGTGGTGATATATATACTCCACTCCCCTCTTTCCTTTTGTCATTTATCTATCGACGTTCAGACAAAAGACTTCTCATATATCTCCTGGCTCATTCTTGATTATTCTTATATATAGAGATCTATTTTGATAATTGAACATTCGCTCAATCAATCTACTTCATTATGTTACCTCAAGGGCAGCCAGAACCCAAAGTCGTAACGCGTACATATAAACCTTTTTCGGCGGAATTTTTTGGACGGGTTGAGGAGACTTCGGATGAGGAAAGAACTACGCATGAGGGGAATTGTCATTGTGGTGCCATTGCTGTTCGTACTTTCCTCCTTTCAACAATGTATCCCACATGGAACTGCGTAGAACTCGTGTGACGAAAAGCCCCTGACTAACGCCACGCCAGTTCACTGTAACACTCAAATGGCCATTCCCCCAATACACCGTCAATTCGTGTACTTGTTCGATCTGTACTCGTAACGGATATTTGTTGGTTTATCCCATGAGACAAGATGTTAAATTCTTAGGTGGTAAGATTGAGTTTCTCTCCTCCCCCATTCTTGCAACGGAGATCATCCTAGAATATATCTAACCAAGCACTAGATTCGGGGGAAAAGATGGGATCTTATAAATGGGGTCATAAGGTTGCAGATCATAGGTTCTGCAGAACTTGTGGAAGTAGTATTATGATTGATCTGCGTCGACCAGAGACGTTTGGGGAAACGGATCCTAGAAAGGATATGGTGGGCATCAATGTGAGTTCCTATTTTTCTTGTGTGACCTTTTGGATTCTGCATTAGAAAATATACAAGGAGCATAGAACGTGGATATTTGGAAGCCAGCGCTTCTGGAATCCTCAGTGTTGATTATCGAAAAATGCAATGGGTAGAGGGTCAACTCCCCAACTTCTATGAAGAAACAAAATATCACCCTGAATGTTTATCATGTCATGAAATAACACCGAACAGGTACGAAACTTCAAAAACATCGATCTTGATGCAATGAGTTATACTTACTTCGATGGGAAGAATCTCATCTAATCTGACAATTCTCCTTATTCTTAAGCGCAAGCTGAACTCGTATTGTAGAATTGCGTTTGAAGGGGTTCTAAAGATCATCTCGAGGTGAGATGTTTAGGGTCTTAGAGCTCTTCAATAAAAGGCATTGTATTCATTGCCAGGTCGGGCTTATAAAATGTTGTTAAATTCATGGACTAGCATTTGCAAATTAGATGCAAGGAGGAAGGATGCATCCGTAAGGTGTAGCACCTGCATGTTGGTTTCTTAGACATCATGTAAATAATTCACAAAGAGGCGTGGAGGAAAGAATTACCGCTTCAGTATTTCACTCTGTGCCTCAATCATACGTCAATATGTTTAGATCATGTTTGTCATGCATCGAATCGAAAAGCATGCCGAGTGTATCGGCAAATGTTCTGTGCTCTGGATTATCATCTGTCTGCGTGGTACTCTCACTATAAGTAATTTCGAGTTCTCCATGCTTTCTTTTTACTCAAATAGTGTCCATATAATCCGAGTCTTGTTCTATAGCATTGACTGAAGCTCCATTCTCAACCAACATCTTTTCTTGATTCCCATTTTCAATTACTGCAATCCTCACTACCAACCCATCCAATTCCTTACCCAGATCTCCAAAAGTACATGACATCAACCAACAATGTCTCAATCCCCTTCCGTCAACGTTCTAATCATCGGCGGTAGTCCCGCCGGCCTATCCTGTTCTTCTCCCTCTGAAATTCGACTGTACTTCCTTGCTTATACATTCCCCGGGTCTCTTATACACCTATGCTTCCGATACATACATGGAGACAGCGCTTTAGAATTTGTTCATCTGCTACCATTTCTGTGTGTTGCTATTCCACCATTTCACCAACCCCCACCCCCCAAATCAAACAACGAAAGAATCAGAAAGACAACAAATAACACTCCTCACCCAGTAGACTAAAATTACAAACAACATCCAGACTAAAAAGAAATCACAACTCACAGCTCTAGCAATACTAGAACTAAAAGCCAGAATCAAAAACCAAACTAGGAAACTCAACAATATCGATATATTTACTTATTCTCGGTAAAGAGCTGACTAGGTATCTAGGTATCTAGGTATCTATCTAGGTTCTAGTATGTATGTATCTATCCCGGTCTCGCAGACTCTTCTCTTTATATAGGTAGTTAGGTAGGTAGGTAGAGATATAGGACGGAAGGGATGTGGGAAGGAAAGTGTATAGAAAGGTAGTAGATACATAGGACGGAAGGGAGGGATATAGAATGGAAGGTGTATAGAATGGAAGGTGTATAGAATGGAAAGTGTATAGGACGGAAAGTGTATAGGAAGGAAAGTGTGTAGAATAGAAGGTATATAGGTAGCCACTCCAGGAAAAGAAAACAAAAGAAAAGAAAAGAATCCAGAGTAGTCAAAACTAAAAACTAGAAAGATCGCAAGATTGAACAACGCAAAATCAAACAAACCACAAACCACAAACATCAAATTACAATTACAAAAAACTACAACCAGTCAAATACCTAGGCAACAAACACGTCCTTTTCTCCCTTTTCTGCCTTTCCTTCCTTCCTTCCTTTCCCTGCTCTTCAGCCCAAACCCCAAACCCCAACCCAATTCCCAAAACATAGGAAATTTCAAAATATCCAACCTCCTTCCCTGAAAGAGAAGTAGTAAAAAAAAAAGAAATCTATCGACCAAACTTAATAGGAAAAACTCCGCGCGTATGGTCAATACCCGGTATCCCGGTGACTTTCCCGGGTACAGCACTACTGCTACTGCTAGAACTCTTCATCTCCTTCAACTCCTTCACTTCCTTCACCCCACTAGAAATTTCCTTCGCCTCGATAATTTTTGCCTCGTCAACTTTAATCCCCCGTTCCTGTTCTTGTTCCTTCCCTTTCCCTTTCCCCTCTTTCTCAAACGCCAAGTAATCTATTGATTCCCCCGAACTATTAATTTTCGTGCCTTCGATCCCGCGGATTTTCGTCTCTTTTCCCTCCACCCCCTTAACATTCTGCACCACCACCACCTCCCCCTCCCCCCTCGCTATTTCCACCCCCTCAAAAACCAAATAATCCCACAACTCATTACTAAACCTCCCTTTCAAATCCCCCAATCCCCACCCCTGCTCCTCCCCAATCTCCCCCAGTACCCTCCTAAACTCCTCAACTTCCTCCTTATACCCCACCTCTCTCAAATACTCCCTCGCGCCCCTCCCTCTAATACTCACCCCCTCCCACTCCTTCGCCCAATGAGGCCTCACATTCAAGAGCTCCTCCTCCCCCCCAACACTCATCCTGCCCCTGTACCCCGCCCACAAATCCACCACCTCCTGACAAAAGGGCAGCCACTCCTCATCTCGCACCGCATCCGGCACGCTCAGAATCTCAATACTCGCCGTGCCCCAGCGATTTCCCCTCTGTGGCGCCATGATCAAATTCGAATCCCCCATAATCCTCAACTCGAGTGTGAGCCGCATCGGCGTTTCCGAATCGCGATAGCAGAGATTGATGATGTCCCACCAGGCGCGGCGGACGATGGTGTAGTCGGGGGTGCCGTTGGGGAGACAGGGAATGGGGATTTGGAATTCGAGGTCGCGGACGCGCATGTTCTGGATCTGGGAAAAGAGGATGGATGTCAGTTTTGACTTTGGAATGAGGAAAGAAGGAGGGAAGAAGGGAGATAACTTACGCCGCGACGGAAATGGAGACCGTTAGGAAGTGCGGTTTTGTATTCGACTGTTTTCTTTTGTTCGAATTCGTTGAATTCGAAGGGGGGGAGTGCGACCACTATTGATGCGTGTTAGAATATGCTTTTTCTCTCTCTTCTTTTTTCTCAAGAGATTCATCTCCTTTCTCTCCTTTCTTTTTTTTTTAGCTCTCAACTCCCCCTTTCTCTCCTAACCCTCAACCCCTCTCTTCTCACCAACCCTTAAAGACCAAACCCCCCCAAAGCAAAATAAAAAACTAAAAACTCACTCCCAAAAGTACTCAAAATACAAGCCTGCCACCTCCCAGGCAACAAACCAAAAACCTCACTCCTCGTCAACACACTCCCCACCCAGCCCTGAACCCACTGCACAAAAGTATCAAACGGGCTCGGATACTCGACTGCGCCCGCGGGATCCAGCGTCTCATTCCACGTATTGACCCACGCCTGCTGACTGCGCGTAAACCAAAACCACTCGCTGTAATAGTCGTGATTGGCTTTCTCTTCAAACTCGCGCAACGCGTCGACGTATTGGGCGGGCGTCCAGGATTTGCGCAGCGCGATGGGGATATCGGTGGGGGAGAGCGGGGGAATGGCAAGTGCGATGTCGGGTTTGGTCGGTCGCAAAACGGCGTAGCTCATAGGGGAGAGGAGGAGCGTGATGTGGGTGACGATGCCGAGGAGTCCGAAACATCCGGCTGCCGCGCGGAGGTGAGAGGGTTTGGTGATGGTGCGCTGAATTCCGTTTGCGTCGATGTATTCGATGGCTCGAACGTAGTCGGATACGGTTTGATGACGACGACCTGCGCCGTGACAAATGGGGCCGTTGACGCCACCTGCTGTGACTCTGTTTGTGTTAGTACATATTGACTTTCGCGAGTATAGCTGCAGGCAAGAATGTGCATAGAGATGGAAAAAAAAAGACAGTCAAGCATACTCAACAAGAATCACATCCACCGGCAACGCCCATTTCCCATGACCCACCGCCCACCTCCTAAACTGTTCATTCGTCACCGCTGCTCCAACTCTACAAAACATCTTTCCCTCTTCGTCCCGCGTCAAACTCAACCCCTCAATTTTCGGCGCCAACTCAATCGTCTTCAATTCATTGACATCTACCACTCCATCTCCATTCAAATCCACATCTCCTTTCTCCTCCGTAATACTCATAACATCTGGGATTTTCTCCACACTCTCCAAGTTCAACATACTGACCAGAATCTGTTTATCCTGTGAGAAAGTATTACTCCACGAATGTCTATACCCACTACATCTAACTCTATAGCCCTCAACCTTCGCCCACTTGACCAGATTCGACAGACCCAGAACCGTCGTAGGAACAAAAGTATAAAGCGGAGTATTCTTCACACTATTCCCCCAATTATGAAACGGAGCATTTTTATGGACTTCCATAATCCGCGTTCCCCTCTCATCTTCCCAGATCCGTGGCGATTGTCCACTTCCCAGCATCGAAGCATCCAACTTCGACGTTAAAGAAGCCACATCACTACTCTTAAGTAATGCACCCAATTGACCACCATGCTTCCCCCAAAACTCTCCCACATGATCCTCGACCTTCTGAATCATCTCAATATGTCCCCCCACCTCCTCCACAATCTCCCTCTCAATCTCCTCTTTCGCTTCCTGAATCTTCTTCATCACTTTACTCTGCACCAATCTCAGTTTCTTCTCATGCGCCTTCTCCCTCACCGTCTCCTTAACCATCTCCTTAAAATGATGTTTCACCGCCGGCGACGGCGGAATATAAAATTCCCCTTTGACTTTCCCCATCCCCATTATCTCCTCCTCCTTCACATCCTTTTCATCATCCATAAACGCTCGAATCTGCGCTTGCAAACTCGGTTCTAGTTCCTCAAATGCATGTTTAAATGTATGCGTATCCTCCAACACTCTCAGTAAACCTCGCAAATGTGTTTTGGGTTCCACATTCCGATTTCTAATGTCCCAGAGTTGTTTTCGAAACAAGTTGAGTTTGGTGTGGGGGAAATCATCAGCGAGTTTTCCAATGTGGTCGATAATTTCTTGGAGTATATATTCTGTGCTGAGATTCTCTAGAGGAGGGACGGGGAGACTTTCAAAATAATGAGAGACCATTGTAACTCGTTATACTGAGAGTGAGTGTGACCTCGATCTTCTATATACTATTTACTTAGTATGATATGCAGGGGGCAGATGCGAGATATGCGAGATGGGCAATTGTGAATAGCCGGTGGGGTAGTTGTTGGATTGCAGATTTAAGCGCCAAGTATACTCGTATATGAAGAAAAGTTTCTCAATGTAGAACAAGAAAAAAGTTTGGTTCCACAAGAATGAAGAAATCAATGAAGGAAAACAATCTCGGAAACAGAAACATGGGGAATATCAATTCGTATAAATAATCTTCAAGTAATCCTTCTCTCGTCTGCCAAAAGTTTTCCGCCGTTATTGAAAATGCCCCTACTAACCCTCCCCCAAAACTCACATCACATCAGGTCAAAACCGAGCAAATAGGTCAGCTATCTTCAGGCCTTACCCACCTCCCCTACATAGACGCGGGAATGCCTCACGTCAGCTACCAATCACGATCCCTATCACCATCTCAGATAATTGTCCCGTGCATCATCGTCGTACAGCTTTTCCGATTTCGTCAACTTCAATTGGTCAATCATCCAGTTCAGCTGTTTGTCTTGAACAGCCTTGTCGGAGACCATGACCAAATGTAGACACTATTTCTACACCATTTCTTCAACAATACCGCTGAGCCTCAGCTCATGCTCGGGTTTCAATATTTGGGGTCCTAATCGGGCTTTTCATGGCTTGTAGTTATAATCGTAAAGTAACCCTCAACGTCAATCTTTACGTGTTTTGCGCCAAACAACTGATTATTTCACCCGTAACAATAATTTGCTAGTCTCATCAAAAGATTCCGAAACTTGCTGAGAAGACAGTAGCTGACATGAGCCACCACTATCGTACAAACCTTACCAATTGTGTATATTGGTGATAGCTAACGGCGATTGAAACTTGCCCATAAGCTTTGGGTTCGAGTTCATGAAGAAAACAGATTGTTGATAGGAATCATCCAGTAGCTCGATCAAGACTCACCAATTGTGTGAATGGTCGGAGTGATGGGTGCTAAATTCCCAATAGCTGTCCAAGATATTGAATGAGAAAATCTTTCTTTGGATACGACTATAAACATCAGCCCAACAAAAGCATGCCTCAAAATTAAACACGTTTGTACGAAATGCCAAAAGACAACTTCGTAATGCGACCTATACCCAAAATCATAATAAGAGTGGTCTTGTAACCCTCGATACCCTGGGAATAATCAAAACGCCTATACCCTCTTCCAAAAATTCCAATCCAGTCTATGATGACCCGTAATGACCAACTCCTTTCTTACCAATTTGTTTAGACCCAATATTTCTCATCAAGTGACTTAACGAATATCCAATTGGAAAGGTTTAAATCGACCTCCAATGGTAGCGCATCTTGGACATTTCCTACGTGCTCCCTGCTCCGCCATGAGAACCTCGACACACGGCTGGCATATACCACATATGCATTCTGTACATGCGTAAGATTCTTTCAGGAAAGAAACGTTCTGACAAGCAGCACAGTAAATTTGTATATTTATTGCAGAGAAGCTTGGCGATGAATCCGAGAGCCCCTGTGATCCAATATTGAAATTATCGCCACTTCCACCACTTTCTACTGATGGAAAAGGTTCTGGAGCTTCAGCATGATACGATGGTGGAGTGAGTGCTTGTTGTAGTGGCGAAGCCTGATATCCTTGAAATTGTGATGCGGAAAATGGAGGCATTGAAGCACGATTCACTGAAACTGGGGATGGAGGAATCTGCATTTCCATTAGTATGCAAGTAAGGCCTTTGTATCTGCACATGGGACAAACCGGTGTTCTATCATCATCTACATCTTCTGTAGCTGATGTTGCAGCATCAATCAAATCTTCCCATCGCTTGCCATAAAAGGCACTTGAAGGTTCGGCAGATTGAGCTTTACGATCATGACTTAGGCGTCGCAGATGAGTGTGTTCCCCACGAGATTTTTGCCTCCTATGCTGTGGCTCTCGAGCACGCTTTGACACTGATTGTTTTCGAGGGCGACCTGTGCTTGTATTTCTTTGAAGTGGAGGAAGAGTAGACGATCGTCCTGGGGGCGATAGTATAGAAGGGAGAAGATCTCTGCGACGGTGAACATTGTAATGTGAAAATGGATCGCTAGTTGGTTCGCGATTGTTGGAATGAATTGGAGGAAGCTCTATAGAAGCTCGCATTGCTTGTTTGTGAGCTTCGTGATCTGACATCCAATCCTAGATGAACCCAATTAATATTTTGCATCCTTTTTGTTTGAAGAGTCAAGCTAGAAGAAGAACCTACCACTTCGGATTCCCACTCATTATCCAATTTATGATTGTGTAGCTGTGCGAGAGTTGCTGCAGCGCTAGCGGCTGGAAGCATAGAACTATCGTCCACGATTCTGGGAGTATTGGGGGCACTCGAATGATTCGAATGATCGCCATAATAATTCTGTCTTTCGTGTGTGAAACCTGTATACAGCATATCAGTCAAGATGCAACCAATGATTGAGACTTAAACTTCTACAGACTATTTGGAGTTGGAGCCGAGTTGGCAGTTGTTGGTGGTTGTGGTTGCGGTTGCGGTCGCTCAGAGGGCGGGGTATTGATCATGAGTTGAAAGCTTTCTTCGGTCGCAGGAAGCTTTGAGATGTAATGTTCTGGATGAGCTCTTCTAATGTGCTCTTGCATGGATCGATATCGTTTTTCCTGTCCATCTCACTCGCTTGTTACCACGGATTGAACCGTACAAAAGGAAAATAAGTTCCAAAGGGGTACAGCAGATACAGCAGAGTAGAGGCACTCACGCCGAGGCAACGTTTGCGACAACTGGAGCCATCTTGATTTCTCAGTGGACAAACAACTTCATTATTCGCATCTGAAACGGAAAAGGATGATGTCAACGAAGAACGAGGAGGCATCGTCAATGTAGACTCGATCATTACCAGATCACAATCGATAATGGGTGGTAATGGTTAATGGGTAGGTAGGAAGATAGGTAGGTAGGTAGATAAGATAGATAGGGACAGTATCGTCGCACTGTTGTTTCGTATCTGGAGGGGAGGGGGAAAGCGGGAATCTCTAAAAATGTATAATCTTGATAGCAAAATTTTGCATAATTATTTAATAAAAATAATATGGGAGGGTTAATTTCTTTTTTTTTTTGGCTTGTGGTTCTGGTGCTGTCTCTTAATGTGATTCTTTCAATGGGAACAAAGATACAAGAAAGATTGAAGCTCAAAGCTCTGGTTTTTTTGCAAATGATTTTCTTACAATTGATGTTTGAGAAAGAATGTGTTTGTGTGTGAGTGAGTGCGAGAGTAAGTTAAAGTAGTATGTAGATAGTATGTAAGTAGTATGTAAGTAGTGGTAATAGTAGTGGTAGTGTGAGTGTGGCACTGAAGGAAGGAATCTTTTGACTGAGGGGTCTTTTTTTCCTTGGGTGGATTCGGAGGAAGGAAGGGCAGCAGTTGGAACGCAAAACTAGGTAAGAACTCAAAACCTAGAAGGAAGCTCTTTGCTCTTTGCTCTTTGCTCTTTGCTCTTTGCTCTTTGCTCTTTGCTCTTTGCTCTTTGCTCTTTGCTCTTTGCTCTTTGCTCTTTGCTCTTTGCTCTTTGCTCTTTGCTCTTTACTCTTTACTCTTTTTTGCTAGTGGGGGTAAGAGTCAAGAAAAGAGCTTCGGATAAGAGCTTTTTTCCTCTTTTTTTTTCTTTCCCTCTTTTCCATCCATGCTTGTACATACTGGGTATCTTTCGAAGTTTAGATGTCTTTACTAGATCCGCAAGAGCCAATGAAAAGGGATACATCTGCAGCTTTGGAGCAGCATCAGTGGAGAGCTTCTACATTCTAACATGGAGAGATATACTCGGACGAGATAGGTAATACTGGGTGGGTGGGTAGGTAGGTAGGTAGATACCTTCTGATTGCTGTGAGCCGAGCTTACCTTGCTTCTCTCCTTGTCTCTAATATTCCCTTTCGAGCAAACCCTTTCATATTCGATTTCATTTGAGTACTGCACTACATACTTGCTATTGCTACTATTGCTATTGCGATAGCTACCTATACATACATACATACCTTGACACCTTGATTCAAAGAGCCAGAGACATCGAACCAACACAACATCCAAGTCAATATAACATGGCAGGCAAACCATGCAAACAAGCTCTCTCACTCTCATTCATCAATCTCACCAAACCCCCCCTCCCACGTTAATTTAGTCATGATCGGTCTCAAAGTGAAATAATATCTCATGCCACCCACTCCACTACTCTTACTCTTTGCATGCACCAGTATCTCAGCGGCAAAAGCAGGCAAATGGCCCAATATCGGACCATGAAAAGCTACCCTTTCCATAGCTAGTCCAGGTTACATCCCTCATACATAATACGCAGGTGCCGCGTTGGGCACGACATTCATGCGACCAATGCCATCCATTGAATCATAACAATCTTACGATCGGTGGAGAGGAGCTTTCCAAAACAAGTACCGCATCTCGCCTTCCTCCAATCAGACTCCCGTGGCATACTCGTGGATGGAGCACTTCTTGTCTCTCCAAACCAATCCCTAGGAAGCAATTGACAAGTAAGAAGTCGAGGATCCCCAAGTGACAAAGTTACTTGATCTGCTGATCTGCCGAAAAAAAGATTTTATTGGATTAGTCCTTCCGAATGGAGAGCTGGGAAGGGCAAGCCATACAGGATGATGACCTAGGTATGTTCGTATGCTACTGTACTTCGATGGCATCACGAATCACCGAATCACGATAATGGAATCCATCCTGATGGGAAAAATTCGATAAGAGCTCTTTTCTTTGCATTTTCTTTTATCTTTTATCTTTTATCTCTTATCAACTGGCATTGTTGCATTGTCCTATACCCCTTTGGAAGCTATCAAAGCAACAGTCGGAAACTGGAGAACCCTGAGTACAGGACATAGCATAGCATAGCATAGCATAGCATCCTTCCCTACCTAAGCTTACCACATCTTGACTCGAATGTGCATTGAGCATGCGAGTACAACTCTAACAAGCTTAATTTGCTTCACAAGCTCCTTTTCTAGAAAGACAATTCGCCAAAGGTCACACCAAAGGAATTGAAAACGATTTCAGTATAATTATGATTGATGCATTGATGAATCTTTCACATGTGAAGAATTTGTAGCTGCTTGCATATCTTTGTAACAAAGTATTTGTCTTTGGATTGTTATTGCAGTGGCAGTCTTATTGTATCGATTGGTCGCCGCTTGCTTTGAAGGAATTATTAAGTCAAAGGCCGAAGACTTGGTGCAAAGGAGATTTCTGCCAATACTTTTCAAACATGAACCAACTCCGTTTTGATTAATCAGGACTCAGGAGGAGATTCATGAGTCAATTGTGAAGCTATGTGAAGCTAGGTCTTAACAATTTGAGGATAATAAAAGCTCTCCCAGGTCCTGGTGATCAGTGCAGTGAGTAGGAGGAGATTGGAATGTACGAGATTTTAGTTAGCTCTTGTGTGTGTAGCTTAATCCTCGAGTACCTAGGTAGTTCGATTCAAGCGTTTACTTGCAGATGGGATCCATGAATCGTCGAAACCGTTGCATTGATTTTTCATGCTGCTAGTAAAGTTGGGGTAAAGTTCGAGAAGGTCTATTCGAAGCTTTCTTAACGGCCAGTCCGAGAAGATCTGTTCGAGAGTTCGCGTTGTATTAACATGTTAATGAACGGTAATTTGTGAATCCGAGATGAATTTTCTTCGTTCGGGTTGTAGTGATTGTAGTGTTCAAAGAGTGTGTCGCATGTCGTACTTGAAGAGGACTAGGTATGTCTATAGCAAATTGAAGAGGGAGGTGATCAAATGTTAGATACCTTGAAAAGTATATTCAAGCAGAGGTCGATATAAATTGGAGAACGATATCTCTTTGAATATTTACCATTCAACTTCTCTATATGAGAACAGCAAGTAGTAAATGACGCTCCGCTGGCCCCCTGGGAGCCACTGCCGTGGAGGCCGACTGACTAATTAGCTAGAGAATCTTCCACAGTCAAAATCTTGGAGCGCAGCGAGCTATGGGGGTTTGGGATTGGGGGATTGGGGGCTTGGGGGCTTGCTCCCAGGATGAATCATGAAAATGAAAGCCTATCAAATCTATAGATACCTATCTATCATAACTGAACCACTGGAATTGAAAGCTCGTTCTCGTACATGTACTCCCCTCCATTGCCATCTTCACATTCTCCTCTTCGCATTATATAAGATCTAACATTGACATTCTATCCTCACTCCCATTCATGAGGATTCACAAATATGGCTTGTCGTGCTAAGTAGAAGAGAAATAAATAGCACAAATACCAAAACACTCACTCGCGTTGATGATTTTCTTATTGATCCTGTCGATCATCCAAGTGAGGCTTGCAGTGTTTGTTTCTTTGCTGAGGCTATGACTTTCTAACCTGGTAAGACTTGGATCTTCATAATGAGGCTGATCCATTGTATAGGTACATAGGTAAGTGTCTATGATAGCAGCTAGAAAGTCTGGATTGACATCGAAAGTTTACATGAGATACTCGTTGCATACCGGTACCTATACATATATGTCCTAGTTTCCTAATATGCGTATACGTATCGTACTCACGAAAACATTCCAACTTCAAAGCTCGTACGTAGCTCGCGTATCGTTCCTTCAAAAGCTTCAATCGATCTTTCATCTCTTTCCCCACCAATCAAATCCACTAAACGGCATTGAAACAAGGAAAGAGGAACCACTTTGACCACTTTTACCACTTTTACCACTTTTCACCACTTTTCACCACTTTTCACCACAACAGCTGAAAGCTTCTTCGTCAAATCCTGCTTGAAAAATGATCGACGTCCTCGAAGCAGGTTTATCATTAGCCATTTCGAGAAATGAAGGTGCTTATTTTTCAGATGGGTTAATTATAGCCGTACGGTACTTCCGTAGAATGATCCACTTTCGAGATATTGATTGATATCGAAGCTCGACGAAATGGTATAGAGCTATGAAGTGTGAGCTTTTATTGAACAGATACAAGGACAATGATATATCATATACACGGTATGTTGTCGCGACGAGCAACTCGATTATGATCACCTATTCAGTAAGCTTCCTCCTCCAAAATAAGGGTATTGTTCGGTCAAAATGATAGGCGTTCGATAGATCCAAGTACAATAATTTCTCTATCGGGTAACCTTTCCATTTTCATCGAACAAACGGGGATTTTGATGAGTTGCCAGGCAGTGTGCCGCTTTGAATCTTTGCTTCTATAAACAACTTACTTCCACATCATCATCCCGCATTGGATCTTCTCCTATACCCTTTTAATAAATATGTCTGTCATCCAGTGCCCGTCTTTCGACGAGTATGTGGAATCACTTATCAATTTCAACTTGATTCATTGATTCACCACTTTGCTTCCATGTCAGAAAAATCTTTACTACCCATCTACTCCTACAATCCGAGTCAATCTATCTCCCCTTGCCGTCCTCCTTTTTCCTTTTGGCCTCACCCTCACTTTTACTTTTTGGATACTATGAGTTTTACAGATTTTCTCGATCTTCTCATATCTCGATTTGAAGATGTCCTTGACAGTTAAGCATCTCAACAATGATGCATCATTCCTCCTAACCTTCTCGCCCATCTCCCCCTTTCCTCCATCTCCAGGCGGACCTGGACGACATGAAAGCTCCTTTACTATCCTCCTCGATCCTTGGATATCCGGTCCTTCTAAAATCTTCCACCCTAAATTCTCAATCTCTCATCTCAATTCACCCTCATGCATATCTTCTCTCTCCGAACTCCCAGAACCAGATCTGGTAATAATCAGTCAAGATAAAACCGACCACTGCCACGAAGAAACTCTCAAACAACTCTCTCCAGATGGAAGCAAGACATTAATCCTTGCAGAACCCGGAGCCGCGAAGACAATCAAACGGTGGAAATATTTCTCTCCCTCGAAAGTCGTCCCTCTTAAACGTTGGGAAGATGCTCGTCAGCGTCGTCCTGACAGTATCCTTCGATTCCCCGTACCTCCCCAATCCCACAATGGGGTCGCAGGTGAAGTGACTATTGCTTTTCTCCCTCAGAAGAACGATCTTACAGGCCTGCATAATGCAATCGGGATAACATATCGACCACCCACCCTCTCAAAATCCTTCTCCCATCCTGATGAAAGCGCATACGCTACTCCACCCTCCTCACCCCACTCCATCGCCTCTACCCTCTCTAGCCCTACCGAGCGCGCTCTCTCTGTCATCTTCTCTCCGCACGGCTGCACATACAACACCCTTGCTCCCTACGCATCCTCGCATCTCGTCTCGGAAGCGGCTCTCCCTCTCACTTCTCTCCTCCACCCCTTCGATCGTATCTCAAACCCTTGGTACCTGGGTGGAAACATCATATCCGGTTTCCCCGGCGGCGTATCGATTGCCCAAAACCTCTGCGCCAAAACGTGGATTTCCGCCCACGATGGCGATAAGACGAGCACCGGAATGGCGACGTGGAGTTTGAGGAGTGAGAAGTGGGAGAAGGAAGATGTGGAGAGTGTGGTGTCGCCAAGGAGTGAAAAGTTTAGTGAGAAGAAGGGGATGGGTACAGAGGTTCTGGTGTTGGGAAGTGGAGAGGCCGTGAGGTTGGTCCACGCAGGTGATGTTTTTGGGTTGGGAGTGAGGATTGGGAGGTTGGATGGGGAGAATGGTGGTAATAGTGATGAGAGGATAGAGGAAATCAGAGCGAAAGATATTGAAGAAGTGTGTTGATTTGGGTTGCGATTTATCACGGCGAGATGGATTATACTAATGAATATCTCGGCTAAGGGAATTTACATGGAAAACTTGGTTATGGAATTGCAACCGAGGAATGAATATATTCACAATTGGGTTATGGACAGTCACTCCCATAGCAATGCTATCGCTATGAGGTATTAGGATCCATGGTGTTTTATCTCCTGACGTATACATTTTGTATTTAATTGTCGTTTCTTTTATACCATTATTTGAGTTAGGTTGGTTTGGTCGGTCGGTATAGCATACCTAAGTAGCCGGCTGGTATATAGGCTCATAGGTTTGAATACCCAGGAATAAAATGAATGAGTAATTTATACTCCTCACATCTCATCTGATTTTAGTTGTCGAGTGGGAAATATCTGTACAGGAATGTTACTGATTTGGTTTTTGTTTCTTTTGAAAATCGAAATTCATGGCACACACATCTACCTACCTACCTACCTATAGCGATTCCCTCCTCCTCCTCCTCCTCCTCCTCCTCCTCCTCCTCCTCCTCCTCCTCCTCCTCTTCTTCTTCTTCTTCTTCTTCCACGAAAAGATCACCAACCCAAGATCTCTCTAATATCTACACAACTCTAGTATCTACCTACCTACATAACTCTAAATACCTAAATAGGTAGATAGATTAACAGACACAGCATTCGAAAAGAAATCAAACAGTTTCAAACCCAAACAACAATAAAATAAGTAACAAAGCAATCTTTCTTCTACATACCTACTATACTATACTAGGTATATACTATATATACTATCTGCATATATACTTATCTCACTATACACTTATCTTATACACAAGCAGGATATGTTATTGCTATATACCTATACATACCTATACATACATACAGGCGAAACCCACACCATACATTTCCATTTCCATCCACCCATCCAGTAAATTTAAACTCTAAACTCTGAAACAAGAACACATGTACCTAGTATATCAACCACTGAATAAATATCGAGAATAAAAACGTATCGTATCGTATCGTATCGTATCGTACGTAGTATATAAACGTATCACTCTCTATACATACCTACATACCTACCTATCTACCCAGGTATCTAGGGATCTACACCTTCTTTCCCTCCTTCCATTCCCTTCCCTTCCAACCCCTGAAATACGCGATGCGATGTATGCGATGTGATACGATACGATGTATGCTTTTGCTGCAAAAATTGTAATTGAGGTTGAATTATCAGGTGGATGGACTATCCATGTGGATACGTATGAAATACCTGACTACCTACCTATACAAACACGAGAAACGAGAAAAAGGGAGAAAAGCGGCGTCAGGAAAAACGTAATGGAGTATAGGATTATGATGGGTGACTACCTAGGTACCTAGTATGTAGGAAAGATATCAGTATCCATTATCAATCTAAATATCGCAAAGGGGGGGTTTCTTTGGTATAACAGACAGCAAATTCGAAAGACCTTCGGTGATTGAAATTATATCTGTATGGTTTCTTCGAGAAGAGAAAGGTGATGAATGTGATTATTCTTCGTATTTATAAACTCAGACGACTGGAGAGTGTATTTTTACGAACAGAGATAGGAATACCAAGCAAGCTCATCAAAAAGATGGATGCACTTGCAAGTTCATGATCTTTACGGGAATGTACACCAAGTTATTCTCTTCCATTTCCTTTTCGCAACCTGCGAAGCAATGACTGTAACTCAACTGATAAGCTCTTCCCATCAATTTCTAAGTCGATATATCCCTCATCTATCCCTACCTCTTTACCGCCTTCCCTTTCAACATTGATTCCCTCATCGCAGCTCTAGCACTCCTACTTCCACCCAACTTCGGTCCTTTCATATACAATTCCTCCTCCGTCTTATCCTGAGCCCCCTTCTTCTTATCCTTTGCCGCTTTTTCAGACATCTGCTGTTGTCTCTGCAAGGATGCATGAGAACTAGCTTCTTCCCAATCCTTGCGGAATGATTCTGCGACCATTTCATCATTGGCCAATCCTGCCGTGTGATTCATTTCCTTACTCGAGGGCGCGGGCTCGTAAATCTCGAGACGATTTTCATGAAGAATAGCATCTACGAGGGCATCGCGTTGAATGTCATCGCTTCCTCTTCTTTTGCGACCACGCCAGGGTTTACCATCGCGCCCAAGACGGGGCTTTGGGAGGGGTTGTGTAGATTCTTCGAGTTCGATGACCTCACCTGCTGCTTTTCTGCGAGCTAGTTCTGTTCGATATGCATTTCTTGCTCTTGATTCTTCTCCCAGATCAATTTCGAGAATTTGACCCATTGTAGTAGGTGCTCTTTGAGATTCTTTAGATTGAGTTGTAGAAGTCTCATTCTTTGAAATTCCTGCTTGAGGGTTTGTGAATGGAGAATCAACGGATTGAGATGTATGTCCGAGTTTCGATTCTATATATGCCATCCTATACTATTAGTCACCGCACTTACACCCAAGCCGTTCTCTCGGGAAGAATACGAAATGTACTTACATATGTTTATCAACACCACTCCCCACTACTCCCATCTGCGGCGCAAATCGTCGCATGGAAAGTCCGCCTTCAGGCTGCGTTTCCTCTGCATCCTTGTCTTCATATTTCACCAGGGCATCCCCATCTCCTTCATCGTCATTCCCATCTCGAATCTTAGATTCGGCTTTGAACTCCACCCCTCCAATTTTCTTTCGTTGTTTTCGCAGACGTAGAATTTCTGATATATTCAGGGGCGTTTCTTCCAGTCCACCTTCTTCATCTCCCTCCTCTTTTCTAAAGGGAATAGAATTCGAAGCAATGAGCTCGTCTAAACTTTGTTCTGTGGGTATAGCTGCTGCCGTTGGCGCGGGCGCGTTTGTGGAGATTTCGGGTTTTATCTCGTCGTTATCATCTTGATTTCGCTGTCGATAAATCTTGCGCTTTTTCGAAGGTCGAAATAAAGGTATTGGGTCTGGGGTTGGAATTGGAGTTGTCATGATTGGTGTTTGGGCAGTTGATGAGCCCAGCGATTTGGTGTATAGAATATTGTATTTATAGTTGAGCAACTTGTAGGTGAAGGAAGGTGAAGCTTGGATTGAGGATGGATAAGATGTTGATTGTGTTAGCGTCTACTGATAGGCTTTAGCTACATGGTAAGGGTCCCTGTGCATTGGCAGATCACATCCGAGCCTCAGCTGAATGATATTAACCACCCGAACCTTACTGTCTCTAATCTTCAATAAGGTGCGATTAACTTTACTTGTCTCATTTATTTCCAAATAGTTCATCTTTTGGTACTGTATCTTTCATAGGTAGATAAGTAAAAGAGCTAATATCTATACCGTACAATATCTAATCAGCTAGGTATAACCTATATTGCATTTCCGTAAATGGCCAGGTGAGCAAGGCTAGTAAGTGGTATATTGTGGGGTAAGCTCCCGAAGCACAATATCAATTGAGGTTCCATCAGCACTCCAAAGTCTTTGGGATTTTGTTCGTCAACTTATTTCAACCTTCAATTGATTTGTATCCTTCGAAATAGCAATGTCGCGAAACGCAGCAGCTTCTGTCCTCCGAAGGGCTCTCCTCTATGGTATGCTATCCATCTGAACACCACATATGGAAGCTCCCTCATGGGAAGCTAACCTACGAGCAAGTGCCTTCATCTTCACCCAAGTTTCTAGAGAAATCCCGAGGGTTAAAGGTCGATACTGTTGCGTATGATCTTGAGGATTCGGTGACATTGGGGAATAAGGAGATGGCAAGGAAAAACATTGTGGATTTTCTAAAGGGTGAAAGACCAAAAGATGTAGGAGAGTATGTATTTTATGTCTGATAAGTCTTTTTGTCCTCTAGAAGGTGAAAACATATATGCTGATTCCACTATCACCATAGACTGGCTGTACGAATTAACTCTGTTTCATCAGGCCTCGCTCTACAAGATCTCACTCAGGTCCTCAAAAGTCAACACCTCGACACTCTCGTAGTACCCAAAGTTAATTCGGCTTCCGATCTCCACTTCATAAATGATATTCTTCGTCATACTCTTCCCTCGCGACATCCATCTACTCCATCGCCTTCTTCTAACCCAGTCAAAATACTCGCTCTCATAGAATCTGCACAATCTCTTATAAACCTCTCGTCAATCTGCCAAGCATCTCCCTACTTACATGGCCTAATATTCGCCGCTGAAGATTTCTCTTTGGATTTAAGCATTACACGAACACCTAGTCTTGACGAATTCCTATATGCGAGAAGTCACATTGCCACTTGTGCACGAGCATTTAATATCCCATCTACCATTGATTTAGTGTGTACATCATACAGGGGAAGTGAGGGACTAGCTCGTTTGGGAGAAGAATCTCTTCAGGGAAAGGGTTTAGGGTTTAATGGAAAACAATGTATACATCCTTCCCAAGTGGACGTTGTTCAGAAAGCATTTGCACCTGGAGAGAAAGAAGTCGAGTGGAGTGTACGAGTAGTAATTGCAGATGAAAAGGCGGAGAAGAAGGGGAAAGGAGCGTGGACATTGGACAACAAAATGATTGATGCACCAGTTACTGGAAAGGCAAGAGAGGTAGTTAAGAGAGCAGAATTGTGCGGCTTTGACGTTGAAGCTATGAGGGAAAAGTGGAAGGGTCAGGAACCCGAATGATAGGACAGTCAGTTCAGACCGTGTTTGCCATTGGCTGATGACTTTTTATCCAAATCTTTCCAGCGAAAGACTTTCATTTTCTACTGCCTCAATTCTCTATATGTACATTGTTATACAGATAGGTATTCTCTAGTAGTAGATGGCTAAACTCGTCCCCACCCAACCCACATCATCAACACCAGACCTATCCTCTCCTAGCGACTATAACTTTCGGTGGTTGACTCTCGGCGGATATTTTTGCTGGCTCAGTAGCTAAGCCAAGATGTTAGAGTACTCAGGAGAATTTCAATCCATTAGTTGGAGAGGGGGTAAACGTGATGGCGTGAATTCATCCCATGCAGTCATGAATTTCAATATCTTGTGCTCTTCATTAGCCAGAAGCAACAGCAGCAAGTCTAAATGGACGTCCATTTGTCTGAGAGTAGCCCAAGGGAACAGTGCCTACAGGATCTTGTGCTGGGTAATAGAACCTACTAAAGCATACACAAGAGATATCCATTCCTAGAGGACACATCAGTAAAAATGCTGTCCTAATAATTGTTTAGGTGGATTCCTTCGTTATGGTTGGGTAGCTTACCTTCGGTAACTGGAATGCCATGGAGGGATCCTCTGATACGCTCATCATCAAGAAATTTGGCAACGTCGAGTAGGATTAATTTGGGTGCTATGCTTATCATTGCATTCAATTTCAGGTCTCGATGATTGTGTCTCTCAATTTGGCTCAGGTATAAATCCACAAACTGGACCGAACTTGATTTGTCACCCTGTAGTAGCCTTCTCAAGTTACTGGCCGTAGCGGTGGTACATCAACAGTCAGTGTCGAGGCTGGTTGCACCGTGAAGCTTTCCATATTAAGTTAATGAATTTTCGCCTGTGGGTAAAGGGGAATGAAGGTGGAACAGATCTCTGTAGAGCTTTTTGTAACTACACTATTCGAAGAATGTGGACTCTTGTAATGATGATTATTAAATGTCTGCTAAACCAGTCAGTAATGTGTAAAGAGCACCCGCCATGATTGGAAGAATCGCGTGTAGAATGATGTATTGACCAAAGATCAAGCATGGCAAGGGGTTTCACTTAAGTCAGACGCGCCCTCTGGCTCGGGTGAATGTAGAATGATGGAATTCATACAGCGAGAGGTATATCACACGTGTAATTGAATATAACATAGCTGGAGTATCATAGAACTTAGACTGCGTTCGAAGAGACGAATCCGGAGTCCCAGCCACCAAAATAGCAGTTTCACAAAGAGAAATCCTTCGTTGGTAACAACAAGACTCACTACTACGGTACACTTTTAGGACATATATTGTGAGGTTTGTGTGTGGATTAAAAGATGGTTATTTAGAATGGTACCAAGAGCTAAGATATTGGCATTAATTTAGCTAATCTGAGCTAAACTAATTTAGTATATACACATAATTAAAAATATAACAAATATTGTAATTGAGAAAATACTTTGCCCTAAAACAAAATATATTTAATTCTGATTTCTATTTTTAAATATATATAAATCTATTTATTAAAAGTTCTAATTAATTTTACTAAAATTCTTTTATCTAATATTTATTAATTCTATTCTGCCTTTTTTTCTAAATATTAAATCAAATACTTACTTATTTCTCCTTCTTTTCTTCTATATAAAACTTATTTTCACAGAATTCTTTTTAAAATCAATTTAGGATTTTATAGAATTCTTTATATAAAAGAGTAATAAAAAGGATTTTATATAAAATCTAATATAAACTCAAGATATATAATATTAATAATTAAATATATCTTTATAAACTCAAGTAGCTTGATTCAATAAATTAAATATTCAATCCTTTTTAGGATTTTGAATAAACTTATGAACTATTATTCGATTTTTGTATTTCTATTTATAATATTAGATATATTATATTCTCAATATAATTATAAAAAAATATAATTTTTAATCTTAAAGAATATAGATTTATATTATTAATTAAAATAATATTTTATAAATATAACTATGAATTTAATTATATTAATTACCTCGATTATTATAGATTTGTATTTAGTATTATTCGTAGGTTTTATTAGGTATACTTTAGCCATTCGTTTTATTATAAATTCGGATCTAGCTCTTCAGAGTGGTATTTCCATCAGTTTTACAATTACTTCTATTATAATATCAAATGACTCTTTGATCCTAGATCTATATATTACTATAGTAATAGTGATATTTATATCTTAAAATATAAAATTTAATAAAACTATAAATAAATATGATAACACTATTGGTCATTACGAATTATTATTTAGAGTATTAAGATAATATCAAAAAGCGATTTTTATTATCTAATTAATATATTTATTATTTTTATTTATCTATAAATATCAAATTATACTGAATAATAGTTTAATATTTAATAAATCTATAATTCCTTTTTATATTTCGGAAACAAACTTTTTATTTTGATTAGAAATAATTGTATAAGGTATTTTCTATAATATTAGAAATAGATGTTGAATTAGGGAATTTCCTTATTAAACTACAATCCAAGTGTTTTTTCCAGGAATCAAAGTAATTGTTTTAAAGAGTTTATTTGTAATTGATAAAGTATAATCAAACAAATCCGGCATCAATTTAAATAAAGTTAAGATAAAATCGATAGATATTGTATAAAAGATATGTGGAGGAATTAGAATAAATTGTAGTGATTTATAAGATTAATATTAGGGAATTGATAACATTCTATATTAATAGTAATGATAAAGGAAAGATCAAAGTTTTTTAGATATATTAAAAATATAAAAACTGGAAGAAACCTTTTTGTAAATATGATTATAATCTGAATATCTTAATTGATTATATATATAATTGAATATTTCATTTTTTAAAGATATAGATATTACTAGTTTTTTTTATAAATATATTACATCAGATTTTGTATATAGAATACCTTATTTTATCTCAAAAAGCAGCTTTGCAGTATTAATTCCCAATTTCTCATTTTCCTTAATCTATTTAATTAATTTGATACACCATAAATCCAATATATATATCTATTTAAGTTTTTATAATCAAATTTCTTTAATCTATAGAATTACTATAGAATAGACTATAATTTCTGATATTCTATAGTTATAACTTTATTCTATCTAAATTGATTTCTGCTTATTTGTTTTCTTTTCAATAATATAAAATTATAATAAAATATCTGATATAATATTAAGATATTTAAACTTATATTACACCTCAAAATAGAATTAGAAAAAATATTCAGAACTTTATAAATAATAAGAATTCAATTGAACTAAGAAAGATATATTTATAGAAATTTAAATAATAATCTGAATACTTATAGAATGATTTGTATATATTATTATTAGAAATTTTGATAATTTAATTAAATGCCGAATTCTTGAAATTATTTAGTACAAGTTTATAATCTCTAATTCAATTAGTTAATAATTAGATTCAGTAGATGTAATAAGTTGAGAAAGAAATATAATTAATATAATAGATTTCTAAATTGACAAATTAATTATAAAATGATAGATTATACTATTAACTCCTTTTTTAAATGTATCTATATCAATATATAATCTTTTCTTAGGGTTGAAATAATATAAGATTAAAGATTTTTTGAAAACAAATTGCAATTTGTTAAATGAATTCCTTTTTTTAATAATAATATTTTTGAGTTTCAAAATTGCTATCGAGTTTTTTCTTTTAATCTTTATAATAACATTCTTATTATAAACACACAATAAACGATTTAGCTTGCTTTTTCTTTTTTGTAATATTATTAATAATTTTATATAATACGGGATATATTATTATAGGTAGCTAATAAAACCAAGATAGTATTCAAATTATTTCAAAAATTAAGGAAAAACTAAAGCTTAAATAATGGAAAGTTTGTTTTTTACTAATATAAGGTTAAATATATCTACCCTTTAACCAAGTAATATAATAGAAGAATAAACTAAAAAGTATTTCTTAGAATTCAAAATAATATTCGTGTTTTTTAGTTATAAAAAAACCTATTAAAAATATTTTAAATAATTCTTAAATATATAGCTAAAAATAATAATATTATTAATATAAACTCTCGCAAATTCTCTTTCCAATTTAAGAATAATATTGATATATCTTTGAATATAAACCAATAAATTTCTGAATTCTATTATTATATAAATAAATATCTCTTAACTGTAATAAAATGATATGATAAAGTATTTTTGATAATTCTTTTTGATGTATTATTAATAGAAAAAGCTAGTATAATCAATGGTGAATATAAAAGAATATTCAATCATAATTATAATAATATTGGTTTACATAGAGATTGAATATATATTAGAAATAGCGATTTGATTTAGTATATGAATATTTATAATAATCCTGTTTTTTTTTGATATAACTCCTTTTTTATCAATTATCTTTTTTTATATATAGAATATTAGAAAACTAAAAGGGATTAGTTTTATTGTTTATTTGAGGCGATTTTGTTTATAAAGTTTATTGTAAGTTTTGTTTATAAGGATTTGATTTTTTCGATTTATGGAATAAACCTTTGTCTTATTTGATCTAAATTTCTTTTCTTAGTTTTTATATAAATCGATCTTTATTTTTTTGTTTTTTAATATATTTGCAAAATCTTTTTGATCTTTTTAAATTATATAATTACTTATTATTAGATCCTTTAACTACTATTTTTGTATTTTATTTCTATAAATTATAATTTCATTTAATAGAATAATCTTTTATTTAATAAGTTCTAAATTAACTATATTTATATAACCTAAAATATTATTTGTATTATTAGTTATTTATAAGGTTATAGTTATTATAATTATAAGTAATCCCTTAATTAAAAAGCATTTTTTTGGTTTAAATATAATAGCCAGTATTTAAATAAAATAATAAATATTAACCTTATTTATAACTATTATTATCTAAGCATTAGATTCTATAATATTCTTGAACCTTAAACTTTTATAAATTACTATTTTCTTATCTATAAGGTTTTTGATTATAATAAAACTAAGCTCATTAGATATTAGATATAAAAAGGATATGAAATTCCCTTGTTATAAAGGTTTATAGATTATATTATAAATTGGAAAAGATAATTCATTATCCTTTCTATTTATAGTTAATATAAATACTTAAAAGTAAAATGAAATGATAACTTTATTTATAGTATAGATTAAGATTTTTCTCTTAGTCTTTTTTGATTATATTATAATCTTAGCTTGTAGATCTGTATATTAAGATAGAATTAAAATTTCGCTATCTAAATTGATAATCCATTCTTTTGGAATAATAATATTATTATTTAATAGGACTTTGATATTTAGTATATCTATAATATAGATTTCACAATAGAGATAAGTTATAATACCATTAGTTACTAATAGATAAAAATCCAAATTTACAAATTGGCTTGTATTATATCTTTAGAAATCTAAATCATAAATATTTATAATCTTATTCATAATGTAAATCTTTATAATAGAATATATTTCAAATAGAAAAGATTGATTGATTAAATTTATACTATAATCTGTATCGAAATAGACTATATATATTTCGTTTTGAGAATTACCTAATAATATTTTGATCTTAATATATCTTTAGCTCTTGAATATATAATCTAATAATAATTTACTTATTTTAATTATAGAATAAATTATTTGAGATTGATATTGAATTAAGAATAGTTCTTTAGGTTTAATTAATACAATATTTCGCTCAAATTGATTAATAAATTATAAGGGATAAGATAAAATAACTTTTGAAATATTATTGATCTTGAATTTCATTGAATATTTCACTGATTTATATTTTCTATATTGATTTCTGAGGTGGATATATAATTTATTTTCAATATAAAATATTTTCTAATAGTTATAATATTAATATTTGGTTTTATTAATCTTAATATCTCGGAATATTATAAGATCATTTAATTTATATCTAAAATCAATATCCAAAGAGATAGGCTTTGATTTCTGATTTCCTTTATCAAATCGAAAATCTTTAATATTATCTTAATATATACTATCGGATTTTGTATTAATTAATATCTTAATTTTTAAAGATTTAAATAATATTAGAGCAGAATCTTAAATAAGATAAATATGCTGTATATCCATCTCTTTATTATAAATATCAAAATCAGTATTTGACTTTTTATAATTGCTTTTCAATCTTTAATAATAAACTTAATTATATATATAATTATTATAATCTTTTGCTATTTCGTTTATAATAATAGCTTTTTCTATTTTATTCTCCCTAGTATTATAGATTCTTACTTTATTAGTTTTCTAATTTCATTTAGAATTCTGTTTTCAATATAGTTTTCTATTTAATAAAGATGTATTTTATCTGATATTATTCTTTGTCTTATTAATATTATATTTCTTATAAAAATTAAAGAAATTTTTAGAAAATAAAAAAGAATAAATAGATCTATGATTATTCTAGTATTATAATTTATTAAAAGAAAAATGCTTATTATTATATTAATCAAATAAACAATTATTAATAAAATTAAGATAATAGATATTAAATCAATTATTCTTTTTTTATCTGATTTGTTTTATAAAAATTAACAGATTTGTTTTTGTTATTAAAACAAATATATAAATATAAAGTTCTACAGCTAAATATTAGTGAGCAATGAGTATTTGAGTATATTCAAATTCAATAGTACCCGCATTCCAACTAAGAATCATAATATTCTAAATAAATTCTTCAGGATCTTTGCATTAATATATATCTCCAATAATATATTTAAACTTTTCTAACTTCTCAAATACTATATTTAATAATATATAAAAGCATATCTCTAATTTGATATATCAATTCTCAATACTAGTTTTTAGTTCAACTTATATTATATTAGATATTTTATTAATATACCAAAACTCTACCTTTCCATATAGATACTAATCAAATTAGAAAATAATAAGATGAGTAGCAAATAATCTCTTAATAATATCTAAAGATTTAGTTTTTACATAAACAATAAATAAAAATATATTATAAAAAACCAAAATATTATTCATTATTTCAATAAATATATTAATCTCATTATCCAAATCAAAATAATCTAAATCTTAAGAATAGAAATATGAGATAATTACTAATAAAGGGTTTTATTATATAAAAGCTTAAATTATTTATAGTAATTATTAAAATTATTCTATAGAAAAGATTACAACTAAAAGCTTTATTTTATTTGGCAAAGGGCTATCAATGATATTGTTTGATAATACAGATTATACTAAAAAGGATATACCAAACATTACAGAACAATAACCTTGCCTTGCAATTTACAGTATAGATAAAGTGTTAATAATACCTTAAGCTACCTTAACCACCCAATTATAATTATTAAACCAATTAATAGATATATTAAATATTTATTAAGAATTATTTAATAAAAGAAAGGAATTATTTAATAAAGATTTATATAAAAAAACAAATATTATTTAATTATTTATATTTAAATTCAGTAAGATTCAAGTAATAGCGTTCTATTATTAAACTAATAATTTGTTTTGAGCTCTGGGATATTTGATAAGAAAAGAATTAAATAATCTCATTTTTGATACAATCTTTTGAAGAATTATATCAAATCAAGCTTTTAACTTAATAATAAAACTATCTTACATTACTATCCAGAAATATGATATTTCACTAAAGTGTATTTAGATTTATAATAATATTTAGATATAGTAAACAAAATGTTTTTCTATAATTTAAAAGAAGTATAATAAAAGATTTGATTATAGAATATATAATATAATAAAGAAAACGATCTAATATAATAACTAATAATCTGTTTTAATACCCAAAATAGGACTTGCTACCATTTGTGAGATTTATATGTAGATTAAAAGATGGTTATTTAGAATGGTGCCAAGGGCCAAGATATTGGCACTGGCTTAGCTAATCTGAGCTAGACTAATTTAGTACATACACGTGATTAAAAGTATAACATATATACTTCGTATCCGCTTCCTGAGAACCTTCTTATGAAGATGTTGACGCTCCACGAATCAAGAAGGTGTATTCTGTCGAAGAGAAGTTTCCATACTTGGGAAGAAGATTGCCGAATTTTCACAACCATGTAGAAGCTGTGAATCATAGTGATCTGAGCACTCTTTGGTGTGATTGGAGAGATATCTTGAGGATTTATACTTTTTGAACGGTTTTGGTGATTAGTCGGTGATATTTTGATTTTGCTGGCTATTGTGTAGATTGGTTTGGCGGGCGTGCAGATGTGTTTGATTTGAACATATCACTATATTAGAAAATGGCCTTGGAATTTGGGGGTCTTTTTGGAAAGCATGTTGATTGTGCTTGTATTCACTTAGTAATTCCTATGCATAGTATTCCCTGCTTGAACTCATGCTGTTCTGTCTTCACCACCGCATTCAGCTTTGTAGCGGCTTCTCTTCCTTCTTTCATTCCCTTCTCTCTTTTTCCTTTTTTCCTTTCTCGGTTTCTTTGGCTACAGAGGGTCTGTCTGTCTTTGAGATGTACACCGAGTTCTCTATAGTCTGATTATATTTCAGTCTCAATAACCTATGAGCAGATCACAGAAATTCCTAGCGCGATTCAATGAATAAGTAACTGATTGGAGAATCGAGATGCTGCTTTGAATATTAAATGAAATCCCTCCGGTGCATATATATACACATGTACAGTTATGTATTGCAACAGAAAAACCCCCATGCATTCCGCAATATACAAATAATGAGTAAAACAAAAATTCGATAATTAATCAAATATGTATATGTAATCGCACTACAAATAGTTATAAATATGTAAATAAATAAGTGTATATAACAAGATATACTAGAATCGCGATACACAATATCGCAATCTCACACCTACTATATTAGCACGGTGTATATGTAAACTACCCACCAACAAAAGATCCGAAAACTCCAAAACTTCCAACTTCCCACCCAGGCAATCCATCAATCTCTATCTCCCTCTTGCTTCTCTCGCTCTCCTCCTCTCCTCTTCCGCCTCCGCAATCGCCTCATCAATCCTCCTCTCCTCCTCCTCCAACCTCGCTACCTCCTCAGCCGACATCCCTGGTTCGCTGAGGAAAGGCGCCTGTAGCGCCCCTTTATATACTTTCGGCACGTCTAAATTCGTGCGACTTCCGTTTCTATCCCCATTCATACCTACTGCTAAACTATTTGCGCCTGCGCCTATATTATCCGTATACGGTTCCTGATCAAAGATACTCCTATCTCCAATCCGCTCGCGACTATTTTCTCGACTGAGATCTACGATATTCCCCGCACTGCTGTGAACGGGGGATACGGGCCGAGAGATTCCGGAAGCGATGCTTACGGCGCGACTTCCTACCACTTCACTACGCAGCGTGTTGGCAGCTTGGCTGCGGCGTGGACTAATGGGTACAGGTGTGTTTGCTGTAAAGGCACTTCCGGGCGCGGGTAAGTCTTGGTGGAGATCATCGTCGTGATCGAATGTTCCGCCGAGGATTCCGGCACCGCGAGATGTGAGAGGGGTGTTTGTATCGCTGCGATCGGTGAGAGCGAGTTTTTCGGCGATGAAGAGGGAATTGGAGTCGTTGTTGTGTTTGAGAGAGGAGGAAAGGAGTAGATTCTCGGGAGTGCGAGAGGTGTTTTTAGGGGGGTTCTTGCGGCGGCGACGGAGGAGGAGAAGGAGGGCTAGAAGGAGGAGGAAGACAAAGATTATAGCGCCGAGGGCGATGCCAATTTTGGCGCCCAGCGAGAGTCCGCTGGAGTTCGAGGAGCCGGAGCTGGAGCTGGATGAGTCAGAGGTGCCAGTTGCACTAGCCAAACCGTCGGTACCGGTTGGAGTTAATATAGGTGTCGTTACAGTCGAGGCATATGATGTTGAAATGGGTATATTGGGCGCAGTTGTTGACGCTGGGATCACTGTTCCTCCTGAAGGCAAGAAGATTGTCGTGCTTGCTGTGACGGAGAGCGGAGTCATTGGAGCTGCATAGTTTGTTATGGCTGCTACAAACGAGCTTGCGAAAGCCGACAAAGATGATGATTCGGCTGCTGCTAAATCTGCTGTCTCTTCTCTTCTCTGATTAGGAGGCGAGGGGCTGCGTAATATCTGGAAGTATGGGCTGTAAGACTCGCAGAGGAAGCCCACGACAGTATCACTACCATTGCTGAAACACAGAAAGAAAGCTGAGTTCGGCTTTGTAAAGGTAGAGAGGCCTGCACTAGTATTATAGAGATTGACGTCTAAATTCGCCGTCCCTGATTTCTGGCGGTCGATTTGACAAGAGGGGTCAGCCTTTGGACATTCGTCTGCAATTTTGATTAGACCTGCTTTGAGAGAGACGGGTATCCTCTTGCCAATTACTTACATTTGAGAGGTATAACATAATATATGTTGGCCGATTCTGGTGCTTGGAAATTGGTAGTGTAACATAAAGCTAGATGTTTTGCGTCTTGTGGTCCTTGCAATCCAACTTCGAAACGGGGCGTATAGGACTGATTCAAAGACACAGTACGCTTCTCTTCAAAAGAAGGCCACGTGGTAGGATAATACCATGAACCCCCTTCAACTTCATCACCGGCAGCTCGAGAAGTGTTAATTTGCGGCGACAACGACGAGCTCCTCTTGTCCCCATAACTGTCCTTCCCAATTTTCCTCCCATCCGTCTTCCCGTCGTGACCGCCAAACGCCATGCCCAGTAACCCGCACCAGACCACCAAGACCCTCCATCTCTGAATCGATATAATCATTTCCAGCTTTCTCACTTCCTATTATCCCATTCATATATCAACCCAACATTATTGCTCTCTATTCACTTAATAATCTTCCAATATTCTGCGAACACTTGCCGCATTTGTTGTTTTCAAATTCAAATTCAAATTCAAATCAAACAAGTTCAAATAATCGTTTGCTCAAACAAATAGTTAATCAAACATACATACACACACATATGCAAAATTACCAAAAGAAGAGAAGAAGAAGAAGAAGGGGAAAAACTTCTCAAGAAAGCCTATATGACTAGGGAATATACCAACACGTTAATCAACACCCCCTACCCTACCCTTCCATACATACATAATCCATTGCACCAAAATCCTTCACTCTCAATCAATTAATCAATCATCGTTAGGATCTTCAAACATCCACGCTCACATACATAGCATAGAGGCGCAGCGCGGGTGGGTATGGAGAGTGAGATCAAAGTGAGCAGTGAGAATGGGATTTGGCGTGGATAGGTTAGGTTAAGTCAAGTTAGGATAATTTCTACCCTGAAGTAACAGGATGCGCATGCACGTTTGCGGGCTATTTATTAGCGCCCTCACCATTGGTTCGGTTAGCCCGTGAAGGATGGGTAAGCTATGCGCCCGCTCCCTATTTTCCCCCTCGCTCCCGCCAATGATGGGGCTCCATGTGCTGATTGGTATGTGTAGGTGGTACGCAAACTGTTTGTATGTCACTGTAGGTATGAGGGCAATGGAAAGAGTGTGTGAGATTTGGGGGCTGAGAGGGAGAGTGTACGCATGAGCAAATTTGTATTTGGGGTGGGATGGGTAGATCTTTGTTCATCTTGCACTTTTATCTTAGACGCGGACCCGTCTTTTGACCGGGTCTGATATTTGATAGACCAATTTTGTGATGCGCGGAGGTGATGGTGATGGTGATTGTGATTCACAATCGATAAAACTATTGATACGAACCTTATTTGCTACGCGCCTATCCCATTTTCTCTCTGCCTGATCATTTCACGACATAAGACGATGGAAACACGATGGAAGCAAACGATGTGGTATCACTATCCACAATCCATAAGCCTCTTCGTAATTCATTCGGTAAAGGATGTGAAGATCTCACACTGATATTGAATTATTTACTCGTCATACTTACCGCATCCAGGACCCAGGTATCGTTTTAAATTTGTGTCAGCAAACGATTGCGACCTTGAATGATTGACCGCTTGAGATGGGGAGGGGAGGGGGAATGTCGTAAATAGTTTTCAATTAAAATGATTGCAACCCAAGGAAATCCGGTGCTACTCCCGAGAGTTCAAAGTAGCTTGGTAATGGAAATGATGATACTTCGGATAACTAGATTGAAGAAAAGTAGATTGAGAAGTATCTTCCTTCGTTCCTTTCTTTTCCGATCGGGGTTAAGGTACAACCCTAAGGTAGTATACCTAGGTATAGTCATTATAGATGTTTAAATATAATCATTTTATATAATACATATGCCATCCTACAATATCAAATTCGAACATTTTAAGATCAAGTTGTATTCCATTATATAATCATACATCTCTCTAGGTAAAGTCCATTTTCACATCTACAAATTCATAAACTCTATCCCAATTGATCATAAACAATTATGCAGCCTTTGAATTGAACTAGAGTAACGGATCCAAATAACTCTATCCTAACATCAACGACAAATACAATCAATCAAAAAGATACACAATTATTTATAACGAATTAGAATCGATTGAATTGATCTACAATTATGAAAGCAGCCTATTTGAAGAAATATATGATATCTATTGAATTACAATACAGTTTCGTTTGCCTTTGCGAAATCACAATCTAAGTTTATTAGCAAATAGGGCAAATGAATTTGAACAAGTGATTGATACAAATGAGATTTCTATGACAATAGAATATAATCATGTGTTACCTTGGGGATTAGATTCTCAGACAGCACAGTCTCTGAATTCTTGACCCCGAGGCTTCATTTAAACATCTTGTCTTTCATTCCGGCTCCACCGTTTGGGCCAACTCGAGTGTGAAATGGTATTAATTTTAACTACCTATACGAGGAATAACCGTGGGATCCATATCCATGAGTCTATCTTCATGATATTGGTCATCTTTACAAAGCTTGAACAGATTCGATGCCGTGAATTGTAATCACCCGCGTGTTTCTGAGTTCGGCTTTAGCTGTTTTTATTTTGTCTTCGCGGGTGATGTTGCGTACACTACCAGCAAAAATTGGTTGTCAATAAAGATGATCGAAATTCCAGATCTTGCAAGTAAAATGTAGATAGATCGAGGTTGCAAATCTACTGGCCCGCTCAGGATGCGTGTTTGTAGGTCATGGTGTGCACTTCCAATAGCGGATTGGTTGCCAGTGAAGTTTGTCGAAAGCAGTCTTACGTCATAGTAGGGACTGTAAACTTGACGTCGTTTCATAAACGGGGATTCATTGTCACCACTCAAGATACCTGTATAAAGAAGATTGAAGTTTGTCAAAAGGATTACATTCCATTGCCAATATCGAAACTGCGATCTCTCACAAAAAACCGCCACGCATTATTGCCATGCAACATTTGACATTATCATCAAGATATCCAGTATTGGATGTCGGTGATACGTAGTCTAGACAATTATCTTAGGAAAACACAACCAACAACCTTGGCCGACAGAGCAATGTAGAAGTTATAACTAGGCACCCATGGTTTAGAGTTGAGTGTAGATATCTTGCTGAGTGGTATCAATCGGTGTATTCACGAAAGAATCAATCAGATCCGCGAGAACTGAACTTAAGTATCAAATAGGAAATTTACTCACGTGTTATTCCATTGTATGACCGCGTGTTATCGTAGTCGAGGAGATTCAAACAACCCGAAACTTTGAACATTATTGTAGGAAGAAAACTCAGACAGAGCTAACGACGGCGAAATCTTGCGATAATGAAGAACTTTCTGGAATCAAATCTGAAGCTGAGGACTTTCCATACTTTTTGAGGTTATGAGAACAAGGGGACGACAGTAAGAGAAGCGTGCAATGAAAAGTTGGATTATGATTGACATGGAGATTTCAAGAGTAGATAGACCTTTTTTTGAGTGAGCTACCTAGACGGCTTGGATCTGATGTAGGTCTAAGCAGATGACCACTTCATCTTGAGAAGACAAGAGAGTATAGATTGAAGTGAAAGTGATCGACCATGATCAATTCGGTCCTTTTCCACTAGATGTTCGTATTCAAGATCAAATAACTAAAGAGTCTTATTACAAAGCAACGAAGTTTGAAATTTTCTAACTATCCTTCAATTTATCAACTTGGATTGGGTAAGAAATGAGATGGCTCTCATACTACCATGATGTATTTCAATTTGCGCATTACCAATAATCTTATCACATCTTGAACTTATCATTTCCTTGAGTGAGTACTAAAGCAATATTACTCCGAAGCTTCGAAGTCCCGGGACGGCTCTAGAATATAATATAGATGGATATTCGTGAACGAAGTTACATCCAAGGTGGAAGGAGTGGCATGGAGATAGTTCGCGCTTATTTCTTGACCACCGTGCTCTAGTATCGTAGAGATTTTTTATGACGCGATGCTCTTGATCAATCGCACAGGCTAGTGATCGTCCACTAAAAGAGATCAACATCGCGCTGCAAGATTTGAACTTTGTACTCTTCTAATAATCATCATACAGTCTGTACGAGAAAATGGTACTGTGCGGATATGATACCATTATTGCAAGATGTATCGAAAGTGTGCCTGGAGTTATGCGTCCATTCCTGGCGGTGATGCTATATTCGTAGGTAGTAGATAGGAGCAAGAGTAATGAACTGGTATAGAGAACCTCGTGGAAACTTTCATAGACAATGCTATTTTGAGCAAAAATCGAGGAAGACATTTGAGATTGTACGATTCTCTCACTTGAGATGTTTGCAAAATCATGAACCATGATTGAGACGAAAGATTGGTAGCGTGGGGGTACACAATATATACAGATAGGTATAACGCCCATACTGCGATATCAAAATGCAGATCACAATAGTGAAACCATTCTATAGATATCGCCTCAGATTACTCGGAATGCGGTAGCTGTGAGAGAACTCCAGTCAAAGAAGGACCTGATAACAATCTCCCACTGAAACAGTAGGAGGCACTTCTAATTTCAAAGCTCCTGGGTTCTTGAGAGGAAGGGATTGATAGTGAACACGCTGATTTGCCTTAGACGTATTAGTCTATTGAGCTTCCCAGTATAGAATTCGTTCAATCTAGGCTCGAATCTTGTGCATTTTGAGCATCTGATACTGAATCAATGTGGAGGGTGTATCGAGCGGGTCAACTTTAATCAGTAATCATGATTTTGTGTTCGACGTCTTGCTGGGCTTGATATCTGCAAGAGTGTCAAGATTCAAAACTCTATCTATGTTTATGATAGTGATATTTGAATATTGGGATCGGAAATCCGGCGCGGAATTGTAAACGGGAGCCTACTTCCGTCTTCGTTAGATAAAAATCAGGTCTTTTTGCGAGTGACAGCATTGTGAATGCTATCATACGTGATTGGAATGGCATTTAAAATGCGACAAGGAGATTTCGGCGACCCCTCATCGGAGATTTGATATTAGCCATGTGCATAAACATGATTCAAGTGCCTCGTAGGAGCGCCGCTGATGAAAAGTGCTTATTCTCTGTAGTACGATGCGTGCAGTGATAACATGGGGTACGTTAGCAGGTTAATTTATTGCTCGGCTCCGATGCATACCTAGTCTAATCACATTTCTGATGTTGTTCATTGACCTTCCGATCATTTCGCGATAGTCATCTTTTGAACTTCGTCTGAATTTTTCCTAATGATTCCACGAGATCTCAAAATCCATATTCTGTCATTAACCAAAATAATCAATACAAAGTACAAATCTTCGAAGCAGGAAAGCTAAGTACCAGGTACTTACAAATGTACGCAGTACCGACCGGCAAACCCCCATGTTAACAAATAGCGCAGCGTGACGTGGAGAAAGATTGAAGGTTGAAAAACTAAAAATGCTCTGAAACTTGGGATAAACGGCTGTTCGCTTATTCTCCGAAGATGCTACAAACAATCATGTCAATCACTAACACCAGATCCGCTGAAGCCTACGCGTATGGTAACAGCAATGTCAAGCCCTTTAAATTGTTATCTTTACTTTCATTCGCGGCTTTTTATGTGTTGCCGTCTAATTTCTTATTTTTCTAATCTTGAAACGAACCCATGGTAGTCCCGTGGCTCTCTGTTCAGAATTCAATCCGCATTGTTGGTTGGAGGAATCTGTTGGATAATTCGAGGGCAGCTATCCAGATGTTTTCACTCCACCAATCGGTATCTTGATTTGTTTTTGTGATCTACATTCTATCATCTTTTTTGGAATGCTATTGGGTTCTGCGTTGATTCTGTTCAGATTCTAGTACCTGCTGGTGTTAGAATATGCATATGGATTTTTATCGCTTTTCCTCCTCACCGAGCTTACGAGTGGACAAAAAGACAGCAAACTAAGACCCAAAAATAGCACTACCACCACTGTATACAATACGCATCATCGCATTTTCTTCAATTGCATCTCGTCAATCTGTACAGGTTCCAAAATAGCATTTGGAATAATCTTGGCTGGAAAGGTCTAAAGAAATTGGCATTGTGGGGAATTAAGGTTCATGGATATTTTAGCCAAGAAATGAGGGGATACTTCTTACGCGTCCCACCGAGTTCGGTAACAATGAAATCCGGGGAAATTTCAACTACCGGCCTCGAATGGATCAATCAATGATATTCTCGCTGAGCATGGTACAGGAAAGAGTGTCCAAGATGTATATTGTTAAAGTCTCCAGGAGGGCTCACGAGATTAGTTCCGGAATAATTTCTTCCTTCTGCTAAATTCATTTCTCCTAAGCCTTTTCGCACTTTCGGACCCAACCCTTTCTTCAGTGGACCTTGATGATCTGGTCAGCTGTGGATAACGCTCTCGATAGATCTTTCCTAGTTGTTCAAAGATTAGTCTAATTGACAACGACAAAACTAGCAATTTTACCTTGAGCCAAACTACCATCTACAGTGAATGCAAGTGAGTATGTTTAAATCTTCCGTTCCCATGCATCAAACTGGGATTAAAAGTCAATATCACATTTCCGATTCTTCCAGCAATAAGAATGATGACTGGGGCTCAGGGGGTCTCAAGGTCAAGCTTTTTTCAAGCTGGTTTTCACAAGGTGCCAAGTAAGTGTATAAGAACGCCAAGTAGTCGCTTCCAAAGCCAAGAAGCCACACTGCTCATCAATACACTCTCATCTCTTGGCTCATCTTGAAAATGGTTAAGCTTTCTGTCTGTCTCCTCCTGGGAGGGGTTTCCGCTTTAGCTTCGGCTCTCCCTGCTGCAGCACCAGCTCCAACGGCAGCTCCAGATCTTCATAAGCGAGCGACTACCTGCACCTTCTCCGGCTCGGGAGGAGCTTCATCGGCAAGCAAGTCTAAAGCTTCTTGTTCAACCATCATTTTATCTGCACTTGCAGTCCCATCCGGTACGACCTTGGATCTGACAGGCCTTACTGAAGAAACTACAGTAAGCTTTTACTCAAAGAGCCCGAAGTTTGCACTATACTGACTGTCCGATCAATAGATCATCTTTGAAGGTATCACCACCTTCGGCTATGAAGAATGGTCCGGTCCTTTGGTCTCTGTTTCGGGAACTGATATCACCGTTACTCAGACCACTGGTGCTTACCTCGATGGCGGCGGAGCTGCTTACTGGGATGGAGAAGGTTCCAACGGAGGAAAAACAAAGCCAAAATTCTTCTACGCACACAACTTGATCTCCTCGAAGATCGAGAACCTTTATATTTACAACCCACCCGTCCAAGTGATGAGTGTTAACGGCGCAAGCGATTTGACAATTTCCGGAGTTACCATTAATGCAGAAGATGGTGATACTGATGATCTTGGCGCTAACACTGATGGTTTTGACATTGGATCCAGCACAAGCGTCACCATTACGGGGGCTAATGTATACAATCAAGATGATTGTGTTGCTATCAATTCCGGAACTGTGAGTCAATATCTTGTTGATTTTTCTGAGCAAGGACTAATAATTCTTTCCCCAGGGTATTACTTTCTCAGGAGGTGTTTGTTCCAGTGGCCACGGTCTTTCCGTTGGATCTGTCGGCGGTAGAGATGATAATATTGTTGAGACTGTCTTGTTCGAAAGCTCGGAGATCAAGGATTCGCAAAATGGTATGTCATCCACGATTGCGAGATTAATGCCTACTTTTCTTTAACACTCTCCAGGTATCCGTATCAAGACCATCTCTGGTGACTCAGGAACTGTCTCTGGCATCACTTACTCTGGCATTACCCTTTCCGGTATCACCGACTACGGTATCACAGTCAATCAAGCTTATGATGGAACCTCCGGTGATCCAACCAATGGCGTTACCATTTCCAAATTTATTCTCGAAAATATTACTGGAACCGTTGAATCTACCGCCACCAACATTCTTATTGAGTGTGGAAGCGGCTCTTGCACCGATGTAAGTTATCTCCCTCCAAATAGATATACACGTGATGTGATAAATCCAAGATCGGATTCTGACTTTGAATACCTAGTGGACATGGACCGCTGTTGCCATATCAGGAGGCAAGATTTCATCCGACTGTCTCAACGTCCCAACAAGCGGCGGTGTCTCTTGTTCCTTGTAGACACTTTCAAGTAAGACTCGTGCACGTAATCTGAACATGACAACGTCACTCATTTATGGAAATGATGATCTGTGATCACGTGTATCGAGGAGGAGGTTGATCAAACTTATTCTTTCCATTCTCACAGTCTCTTCGCATCTGTATATATTACCCTCCATTAGTAAATATTTTCGGAGCTCTCCGATCCATTTCAATATTGAATACCTAGTTGTTCCATCTTGGCATGTGTTTGTATTCGGCTCTTTGTACGAGAAAAAGTAGGCCGGAATTGACCACAGGCAAAGCCCTTCAACAATCCGATTGTTCCATTCCAATTCAGAGAATCAAATATTCAAATAATCTTTATATTGGAAGATTAATTAAGGTTTTATTATCGGTTGGTTAATCATAGAATTTATTAGGGTGATAATTTTGGCCTCTTTTTTCTCCCAAGTATAGTTCGGGTCCTGCTTCACGTGATAAAGATAAGCGGTTGCGTTTTGGTATCACATGTGTGTGTTACATTCTTCATTTGATCGATAGATGACCGAAACGAGATATGTGTCTCAGTGCCATGAGGCGTGTGAGTATCAGTTGAAAGCATCATTATGCAATTTAAGGATTATGCTCGTATTATGTTTGTGAAGTTCTATACCGGAATCTGATTTCCATTCGATGGATTGGATTGGATTGGATTGGATCTTTCGATCATGGGGCCAAGTAAGTCGAACCAAGTCCTTCCCGCCTCTACGAATATACTTGTTGAATTTCCAGACTGTGACTTGAGTGGGATCAAAGATGGATTCAGAATCTCGGTTTGGTAGGGCTGTGAAAGCTGGGAAAGATGGTTTATCCTGGAGGGGAATCAATCATCATGATGTAATAGTCTCTTTGATTCATCAATGATGCGAACAGGGAAATATACAAGACATACAAGACATACAAGACATATCTAATAATACACCATTACATACAACCATCACTGCTACCTTGTTCCTCAACCATCTGGGCACGTTGTGCGTTCACTCCTCTCGAACTCTACCAATTAGCACACGAGTATCGAAAGCATGGAGGGTGTTAACCTATTAAGCGCCGAGGTGTATCTAGAAGATTATGCAGGCACATGAATCCGGACCCTCATGATTATGCAAAGCGATAAGAGTTCCAGAAGTTGGTGATGTTGTATTGCATGAGTTTATGGAGATAAGAGATTGAACTCGAGCTCCCCCGCGCGCATAGCTTTTGACCAACTCAGCCAACAAGGTGTCATCCGGTTTCATCCCCTATTCTCGATAACACGCAATCAAATGAGAGAAGAGGAGAGCAGAGAAGAGAGGAGACGAAGAGAGGAGAGGAGGGGAGAAGGCTTAGTACTGTGTGTATTTTACTAAGACCGAGTACATTTCCCCATTATTACTCCAGGTCCGGTGATGGCCGAGGGCAATCTAGGTCATACGCCATACATACACTCATTCTACCTAGGGTTCATTGGGTCAATGAGAAGGAAGAGATGGGATTGTGGACTGTGGATTGTGCCTTGTTTGAGTTGTTTGTTTGCTTGTTTGTTATTGAACGTGGCTGGAGGCTGGAGTAATGCTGGCGGGTACATGATGTTCAGGCAAGTGAAAGAGGTGGAAGCCATTGATAAGCAATGAAACATGTCCCATATATCTATCTTCCTTCTCTTCCTCTCTCTCTCTCCCTCCTTCTCCTTCATTCATCATACCAAGAACTATCAAATATCAATAGCTATACTAGAAACATATTTACATTTTCAATTACAGTACCATCATTCAGATTGCCATTCACGACTTCTACCTAATCCATAATCAAGCCTTCGTATCTTACATATTCCTTCTTTATCTTTCTTATCCGGATATCAACATCGGATATCAGCCTCGCCTCACCTCACCCTCATCTGACTCACTCACCGAGCACATTCTCCTTTCATTCAACTGAACCTTTGTATTTTGATTCAAAGGACTAATAATCCAAGTTACAACTTCACATACATACATACATACAGCCTTCCTGCTATTCACCACTTAATTGTGTTTTGATTCGCAGTTTCTGATCTTGGAACGTGTGACTCTATTTCCCCGTGCCGCAACTACTCGTTACAGTCATCCGGTCAAAGTCTGAATCATCTTATTCACGAACCTTCTACTTTACTCTTTAATAAACCTTTATTTCTCTTTTAATAAATTTGCCTCTACGAACATCCTACGAATCTTCTACAAGGTGTTAAATTCTTTGAAATCAAAGACTAGAAACGATACAATACAATACCCTACCCTACAATACGATAAGTACGTGACCGGAACAGAAAGGAAGACACCCCTATATCTATTTTAAGGAATAAGTCAACACAAAGAAAGCTTGACCGCCACGTTTTTCTCTATCTTGGCCTCGTCTCTTATTGCAAGAAACTTCTCTCAATAAACATTCCAATCTTGCAACTTTGCGCCATACAAATCCATCAACCAAGAACAAGAAAGACGTACAACATGTCTGCCATTGCATCTAACACTCCAAGCTCTCCTATTCAACACCGAGACATTCGCTCTGAGGCCCAAGCCTTCAAACGTGATAAGGATCACTCCCAGAAATGGGTTATGGGGGTTCGCCCACTAGCTGGCGCGAACAAGACTTTCATAGATTTGACTGATGGTCCTAGCGATGCATCTGCTAAGGGAAAGGAGAAGGTTAGACCTCAAAAGTTATGGAGTCAAGTGTACGTTTGCTATCCTACCCATACAAAATATGAGAACCCCAAACTAATCCCACGTTCCTTCAGTGGTAGCTCCGACCGACATTACCGGAACAGTTCCAATGCTCCTTCAAAACCATCCGGGTCCCCATCTTACAATCATGGTCTTACTTCTTCTTCCCGTATCGCCCGCAAGATCGATGCCCATGTCGAGGCTGCAGATAAGACTTCCCATCCTCTCTCTAGATCTCTGCTCGATCTTCTTCCTACACATTACAATAACACATCTCCATCTGTCTCTACGGCAATCATGAATACTGGTGACGAAGGTGTTCTTTACTCTTTTGATAGAACAGGCACACCAAGTAACAGAGTGGACTTGGGTGGGCTGGTAGACCTTGCGGAGCAAAGATGGGTCAATGAACAAACCGAGAAGATTGTTAGGGGTGAATATGAGGTTTTGGATGCAGAAGGAGAGACAGTTCTTCAAAGACAAAGAGGCAGAAAGAGTCCCAGATCCAAGGCTCTTTCTCGTACTCGGGGAGACTCGAAGGCTAAATCTCATAAATCAGAACCACTTGAGGATGATGGATTTGAACTTATCTAATCTCGAATCCCGGCATGAGTCTGGAAGATCATGATCTCTAGTTGATCGTTATGGTTACCCCAGCATTGTATTCTCGTACAGCACATCCTGCATTGAGCCACAGGCATTCGGAGTTATTTGTTATCTTTTCCTTCTTTACATCTGGCATTTGGCGCGCACACAAGCATAGGATACCGGCAGGCAGCTTACTCTGGAGTTTTTGGTACACAGAGAAGGATAGCTAGCCTTTTATTTTTAGTTTCAGTTTCTGCACAGGCATTGATAGATTGGCCTGAGGTCTGATTTTTGTCTCTTATCCGGGTGCATTATGGTTATTGAGGTTTGCGCGGGGCATAGCATGGATAGCTTACCGGTCTAGGGATTGGGAGGATAGCTTGGTGCTTAGATAACCCTTTTATCAGGCTTTTTAATGAGTTTTGGGTTTGATGGTGTGTACAGCAGGAATGAGTGGGATGGTCGATACACTGGGTAGTTGATCTCAATAGTGTTGATAAGGATGAGGTGTTATACACGCGGAAATCGCAATAATGATTCATACCTATTACCCACCAGACTTCACTTTAGACTTCTTGCGCTATGTTTGTGACTTTCCCACTCTATGATTTACTATGCTTTTTCGCCCAGTGGTGATGATGGCTCACATCGAGCTAACTTGGGACAAATATGGTGACTTCGTCTGGTTTGACCGTCTGAAAATTGCCGAGTGTAGGGAAGGGAACAATGTTTGCGATCAATAAACCTGAGGTTTTGAAGTATATATTTTTAATCCATATTCTTCAGCGGGATGATGGCATAGTTATGGGGACGATGAACGGCGAGAGATAGTCTGAGTGTAGTTCAAAATCATGGATGACTGTCACGTGAAGGGCATTACGCGCAATGTGAACGTGTCTTTTTCCCTCGTTCACTTAAACCATTTCATGGCCGAAGATCCACAGAAAGAGAAAGAAAATAGTGAATTCCGGAGAAGTTTCAGGTTTTGCCTACGAAAGTATACTGTCGAGACCTGAATAATGGGACACTCTCTGGCCAGTTGCATTATGAAGAGATATTGATATGGTCGCCTCGGATTCGACACGCGTCTACTGATAGGTTACGAATAGTTCACTATAGTGCTCATTGATTATCGAAAAACGGGATTGAAGGCGCTAAAAACATTTTTATATTATATCCAGATATATACATTTAGAAAACAATTCCTACTACTGCCCTGCGAGAGTCATAGAGAAATAAAGGTAACGTTGCGGGCATGAAGCAATTAAGCCGACCCGAACTACTCCTCGTTCTAGAAGCCAGTGAAGCTGAAGCCAGCACATGCGGCGCCAATATCGTCCGCACCGCCATAGAGATTCAAGTATAAGAGGTAGGTCTAGTAGTCGAGAAGGAAGGACGAGCTGTTGGCAGAGGAAAGCGCCGAGTTGGCACGTGCAATAGCATCATCGAGCTGGGTGTAGACGGCCTAGGTAACCCATTCCTAGGTAGAAGGAACGTCGGAGCCGTCGGCACTGATAGTCACGTTAGCTAGCTCGGCTTGAGCCTGAGCAACGGCCCGGGTAAGGAAGGCAGCCGAGTTGCCGGCGTTGGTGACGGGTACGAGCCAGAGGCTAACGTCAAGGCCCGCGGCAGTGTCGTTGGTCAATCCGAAGAACTTTTGCGTGTCGGTGAATTCACCGGGGCGGTTGGAGATGAACAGATTGTCGCGGGAGAAAAGCATAGCATCTTCGTAGGTGACGCCGGCGATGTCGTAGAAGGTGTGGTCGGCGCCGTCAACGAAGAGGCCATTAATTTCCAGGGCGCGCTCCATGGCCCAGCCGCTAGGGCCGTACCAGAAGAGACAGACATCACCCGACTTGATAGTCGTGTCGAAGTTGGCGGCTTCGATAGCAATTCCGCTGCCGGCAAAGCATTCGGCTTCGAAAATAGTACCTTCGTAGGGAGTCTTGTTTTCAACATCAATATTGCCGCGGTAGACCGAGAAGGTGCCGTTGGCGTTTTCTGTGATGGTGTCGACGGTGACACCCTCGAGGTAATCGGCATCAATAAGATCGGTGTAGCCATCGCCGTTGGTATCCCAGAAGCGCACTTCGAGACCTGCAACAATGCTTGTGATGACAGAAAGGGCAGCGGCATCATAGCTATCCTCCGCGGTCTCAGCTTTATAGCCACCCAACCAGCTCTCGGCCATGGCGTTGGAAGAAAGCCAAGCCACCTGATTAAGTGTGTAGCCGTCGCTCAAGCAGTCGCTAGAGCTCTTGAAGCTAGCTTCGGTGCTTGGGATGGACCACAGGTTGATGTAAACCTGACCGGCAGCGATGAGGGCCTTGACACCCTCAAGAGCGCTTCCTTGCTCAAAGTATTGGTCGTATTGAGTAGCGGTGATGTTGGTGGCGTCGGTGCCCATGTTGATTACAACAGCGCGGAGTAGTGTACCATCAATCTTGCTACTTGAGTAAGCGGTACCGCATGTTGCCAAGGCGGTAGATGGCAGCATGACAAGAGCTGTGACGTCGGCGATCTTCATGTTTGCAATGACTTCGAGAGAACGGAGGAGAGGTGCAATGGAAAAGAATGTTGATCAAGACGGGAAAGAGTGTCAATTCGTCGTTGTTATTTGGCTACCCTCTTTACATGGTCGATATTTATCTTCTTTCGAATCTAAAACGGGTACCTAATTTCCATATCCCTATCATGCACATCTAGCTCGGTGCCGGAAAAAGCGTCGGCACTCAATCCTGTGCGCTCAGATATGTGGAGACGGCTTGGGCTTCGTCCCCACTGGATTTTCGACAATGTGAGGATCAGTACACAATTATATCTAGGTATATCACTCCCCTGAGTCTTCTCCTTCCTAAAGGAATACACAAAACCGTGAGTTCTCAATTTTTGTGGCTAATCATTTGCGGCTTACATTCGAAGATCCGCGGTGTTACACTCATTAGTCAGAAGGAGGGAGGCGGGGAGGGTAGCATATGAAAATTGTCAGATTCCCCACAAGGACGCGTGATATGGGGGTTTTCGGTCCCGAGATTGAGAGGCGATAAGGTGCAGAGAGTCCATCACGGACTACCGCTCACGCTATACACGATTCAAACTCCCGCTTATTGGCCGGATCAACGTTCCTTTCTTCCAAGCCCTAGTCTCTAGAACTTAATATCCTCAAAGTACTTAGAAAGGGCCAGTTAGAACGCATCTGCCAGCGGAACGCACACGATGCGTACCGGCCATATAATGGCTAAACTTTGAGCAATATTTTAGCAAAAATTTTCTCTACTGGAGGACTATGAACTAAATCGACTTCGTCAAAACAGGGCATCGATATCGATGAATCATTCCGTTGGCAGGTGGGCCCTTTCTAGTCTTCCTCAGCCACTGCACCGATGCGGTTTCCCCTGGAGTTTCCGATACAAACCATAATTAATTGAAGACAAAGTTACACCCAATGGAGCCCCTCAGATTCTATATTTCAAAAGCTTTTATGAGTGTTTTTACAGATTTTTTCTACTCTTCAGAGGCAAGGTTAATTGTTCGGCTTAGAGAAGATGAACCATACAACCTAGTCTACCTCTGTCAATTACTGGGCACCGCTTCATCGTATACACAACTGCAGGTCGTAATTAACCTCCCCAACCTCGTCACTCATCAGAAGCACTGGTTGCTTTTCCAGAGGAGCATATTGCCTGCTCGACCGTGCTCTGAATTTCTTTAATCTCGAAGGGTTTGACTGCATCACTGAAGCTCTTTTTCGAGTAGAAAAGTGGGTGTTTTGGAGAGGTAATCCTACCTCAAGTACACCCCTCGGTGTATGTTGCATGTTCCAGAGTCAAGATGGCGGTGATGTTCTAGAAATTCCCATGTCTTGACCTAGCTGCGTGCGTAGCCTCTCAAGGGTCTTGCGGTTCAGCGTTAGCTTCGTCCGTCTTTTCTTCAGCAAGATATACATCCCCACCGAAAACGAAGTTTTACTGTCGGCGCCAACAGCACTTTTCTTATTGGTCGTCAGAAAGCTGTTACAGAATCACTAATAGAAGTTACAGAAGAATATCAGATTACCGAATAAGCATTGACCCTGGACAGACTTCGACGATTCGACCGGTCGAATTTTCATCATGTGACTATCTAATGCAGGTTTTCGATGATTGATCTGATATCGGATTCGATCGCTTCAGGTAGATCTGACTTGATCATCAAATTGGGGATGCCTGACCGGTGCAGTGGGCGTCGATAATGCAGGTGGCGTTCGAAATGGATAATTCGATTGAAGTTGAATTGATTATAAACCGACTGAAATATCAACGGCCTCCTCCCACTATCACAAATAGTACCTTCTTTATTTGCTCAATAACGAAAACAAGAAGTAATATCCCTCTCAGGGGAACGGCCCGGGCGGCATCCCCTGTCGCTAAAATCATGGTCTCGGCACCGAAATCAAAAACATACTTTTGCAGATGTTCCTGCGAATCTGCTCGCGTATATCGGTATACCTACAGTATCCTCATATTTGCAAGCAATGGTGCCATTTTTATTCCGGGGCTGTGGCTATCTCCTTCTTTACCTAGGTAGTTAATGCATCTAGCCCTCCCGTTTTCGAGAATACATGCGTGCCCTGGACTCCACCACTTCCTCCGTGCGTGAGACTCTCATTCATAACATCCGGTCTTTGTTGTCCTGATCTGTCACATACTTTTAGGAGGCGTTGAAGGCCATTTTGTTGGATTTTGTCGAGGAAGTGGCAGTAGGTATGCTATAGACTTGCTGTCAATATGTTGTCAAGACAGTTAATTATTTGCGTGGCGTATACTGTCGGCTTGTGATAGAACAAAGTGCATATATAGAGTATCATCATTGGCACGTTCGTTTCGATCCATTGTATCTATACATCGTCCGTCAATCCGGTTATAGATCTGCTTGAACTGAAGCAGAGACTAACTAATATACAGAGCTGAACACACACACTTTACAAATTTTCCAGATCCATCAGAGAAGCATCGTAATATTGATATCTTAATTGCAATCTTGAATAGCTAGCCGCCAGTAACGTTCCTCCCCAGTTTGACAGGACTACTGTATTATAATGTACGTGAATTTTGCAAAGTGAACCTCTGGGTGAAGAACTATTTCCCTATGTTTTTCAATATTGTGATTTGAGAACTCTCAAATTGAGAGTATATCTAATAGCTTTTTTATTGTTTCAGAAATTGGTTCTATATTCTGTACGTACTTATTTTTCAATGTTGATCAACTGATTTGAATGTTCCATACATACCTAGTAAACAGACCGTACTTCTACCTCAACCAATGAGAATCGCGATACTGTTTTCCAAGACAGCAAAAGCTCAGACAGGAATATAATTTGATATAACGAAAATTTATTAATAAAAATGGCGTCGTGACGGAGTGGTTAACGTGATTGACTAGAAATCAATTCCTTTCGGGGGCGCATGTTCGAATCATGCCGACGTCGAAATCTTTTGGCTTTTTGGAGGCTAATGTGTGGTTTAACTTTATGTTCCCTTTTATCAATTTTTGCTCCCTCTTAATTTCCATGGGATGTGATTTTTTATATTCCTTCTAAGTTTTAGGGAAATTGTGGGGTTGGGAATTATTGTCATGTGGAGTCGCTGGGGATTGGATGAGGAAGTACAATATTTGTGGATATATATGGAAATTTATTTAAACTTTTGCGTTTGAACTTTGGGAGTTTTTAGTACAATGTAGAATAAAGGTATGATAGTATTTGATGTGGATTTTGAGCTGCGTGGTATGCATTCAAAGTCACCATTATGAATTATATCGTAAACACCGTTTAGAATGAACAATAGGCTTGCCTGGAGAAAGTTCTCTGCTGTTTGTGTATTCAAAGCACCGGGCCTCATTTCATGTCAGGATGATATGAGAAGGTTGATATTCAATCATCTCGGCAGCCGTCTGAAATTCAACAAGCCTGTTGTTGAGTCGCTCTCGAATACTGAGGCCCGAGAAACACTAGATATGGGGAAGGATGGAAAGGAGGGGTGACACTTCCGGCTTGGAATGAAATTATTTCCTACAAGCAAACTCTTCATTGTTAAATAGTTTTCTTCAAGTCGGAGCTTTTATCGACCATCAATATAAGATGGGTTACAGTCGATTTTAAGCTACATCTTTTTTTGCTTTGAGGTCTATGACATGGATTTAGGTTTCTGATTATATCAATGAGAGACGAACATGTTTTTTTCTATTGAATCTAAGTTGACTATAGATATTTAGGTTATCAAGCATTTGAGTGGCAAATATCATTGTTGCTCATGAGCTTTCAAAGTTATACATTCAATAAGTGATGTCGGCAAATCACGAATGCCCCTTTTTCGGGTCAAGAATGAACATCAGCATCGCAATTTATATTTTCCAGCGTTTTCAATTTTTGAATCCTCAAGAAAGCTTTTCCAAACAGTCTACTGTACAAAGGTCTTAAAACAAGAGGATATTCTTGCTTTGTGCCCTCACCTTTTTCCGGTGAGGATGTCTTTATCTCTCCTGGATTGCCTTTTCATTCAGCATCCCAAAACGTCAAATGGATTTTGGGCAAGGAAAACATAGTTCTTTATCATACCTCGAGAGAATGAGAAGCCAACATATTATTTAGTATATACGGGTACCAAAACATTAATGGCGAGTTCGAAAAATTCCCACGCATCTAACAAGAAGTGGTAATCTTCTTGAAATATATAAGCTTAATCTCGTACACGCATTTCCCAATTGCAAAAGAATGAACGAAGAAGAACTCGCTCGCGTCCTCAGACGCGATCCTAACATCAACGTCGCCAGGCCCCCACGCCAAAGACCTGAGCTGACTCAACCCCTCAAATGGGCTCTACCTACGCCCCACACCTTGAAGCAACAAACTCAACCACGTTTTAAGAAAATCCGTACAACCGAGCCCCTAAGATGGATCCCGCAAGATCACATAAAGAGCGCATGGCCACTCCTTCCTCAGCGCCCCCCTGTATTTCCCGAGCTTCCTGCGAAGAAACACAGTCTTGAACAGTTTGAGGTTGATGAAGAAAGAAAGAGGCAAAGGAGGGAGATACGCAAAGCCCGAATAGAGGCAGAATTGGCAAACAGAGTTCCTCCTCCGGCGCCTAGACCGGAAATTATGCCTCTGTCTCCGCAAGCTGCTCGCGCGCCCAGACCAAAAGATCCACAGACTGAAAATGTACGCAAAAAATGGCCGGGTCCTGGAGACTGGGAATTTAAATGGAGGCACAATTTACGCAAGGATGCAAATATGGCAATAAGAGATAGCGTTCCGGATGACATGTACGAGCCCCCGTTAGTCGGACCAATGGTCGATCGAATTCCTATAATCAAGAATTTGAAAGTCGAGATACCATTCATGGAAGATGCCATCTTTTATCCGAGTAGAATACCCGCGAGTGGAGATTGCTTTTTCGGTTCAGGTGAGTTTATGATATATTCTTGTTATCGAGTGTCGATAGAATCTCATGCTGACAATCTCAGTCTCAATGGCTTTGTATGGGACAACTCTATATTGGCACTATACGAAGTACTGTCACTTGTGGTTTTTTCGTTACGTGCTTACGCACCCTGCACATCCGCGGTATGACTCTTACTGGCATTTAAATACTTTTGGAGACTCCGATGGCGAAATGAATATGTGGCACCGATTGAACACTCCACAGGCAAGTCAAAGCTAGTCCATACTAGCCAATATGACAATGCAGTCACTAACCATAATTCTCACCAGGCCTGGCAATCAAGCGAGCTGTTCAATATCACAGCCGATATTTACAACCTCTTCATAGTACTATACGAAGCGCCCAATACGATCGATATCTTTGGCCAATACAACGCGACGCACATGTTTTTCCACCTCATCAACCGGAATCACTATGAAAGTTTGATTCCCGAGGACGACGAGGTTCAGTTTCCTTTTCCCGATGGCGTGATGATTAACCCCAGGCCTGGAAGAACAAAAATACGACCTTTCGGTTCAGGCAGAAACATTGTATTGTGCCTCCACCCATTGCGCTGCCAGTAATCCCCCTTCCGTCAGTGATAGATATGACTCGAGTTCTTGGGATCAATACCGCAGAAGGAGCTCTAGATATTGAGTTGTTGAAAATCGGACTCAGAAAAGAAAGAAGGCAGGCAAATGAGCGAAATGATCCTACAGAGATCAAGTGGTGGCTGGAAGCAGAAGCCAAGGACAAGGAAGAGGCAAAGAAAGCAGAAGAAAAAAGGATCGCCGACGTAGCCAAGGCAAAACCTCCAAAGAAGGTCACATTACCTACAAATGAGGAACTCGCAGCAAATCTCGCGAAAGTATTGGCACAGAAGAAGCCCGAGCACGGAAAGGATCCAGACAATCCCAAAAGCAAGAAGATTCCAAAAAAGACATTCTACGATCTCGATAGCGACGATGAGGACAGTGATCACAAAGAAGCCGAAAACTTGTTACCGAAAGATGAATACACACAGGGAGGAACGAAAAAGGAAAAATTCACCGGTTTCGGTCTGGATTACAGTGATGATGACGACGATAGTGATACTTTCAAAGCGGCAAAAGAAACAAGTAAAAAGTCACCGAAAGTGAAGCCGCAAAAGACTCCTGGAAATCCGGATAAGAAGATTCCTTCCAAGCCTCAAAAAACAGGAAGAACGCCAAAAAGACCGCCTAGGTGGTAAGGAGAAATATCTTGGATGTTAGAAATACGGAGTTCGCGAAGGAAATTCTATTGAAATAGTATTGAATGATGGCTTATTGCTTTGGCAAAGAGATGCTGGAGTTAGTATATAAGGGTTTTATGGAGTATGATTGGTTTTTTCGAGGAGAAACTTTGTTTTATATAGTATTCAATATTGTACCTATTTATGTTTGTCTTCAGTCACTAGATGAAGGGGTATCGTGATCTGGTTATTCGACGCGTGAAATTGGAAGCTGTGCGTGAGTGATAGATTTGACGAAGAATCAAAAACTATGAAACCTTTCACTATTTGTTACAGTAATTTATGCTGAGATAGTATTTTCAGGTATTTTATGGTTCTACACGTTTTCTATATTTGATCTTTCCTATACACTTGTCAGGTTACGGGGACAAAGTATTGATCTCATCATTAAGTGTAGTTTAGTTTAGTTAATTTCGAACAATTGATATATATTGAGATTCAAAAATGAACCTTATCATAATCCTGCAAATGGTTTTTACAACAGTATTTATTAATATATTCCACAGGATCATTTCCATAGGATTCATATACTAAACTTTCCCTACATAGGCCCCTCCTCCTCTACCTCCTCGATCAGTAACATAAACGCGAAACAATATCACCCCTGAAGCTCTCACTATCTGTATTCTTTGTCCCAAAATCATCAACTCCGGACTTGGACTCCCCTTTATCCAGCAGCCAATGCTCAAGCAACATCCCCCAAGCAACAAAGACCGCTTTATCCCAAAACACTAGCCATAATTCAAGCACTCGACAACAAGTAAGCACAATGATTAATCCCAATCCCAACCTCGCATTTCCCCCATCCATCCACAAATCCCTCCAAAATGTCCCAAAAATACGACGTCCACCACACATTCGACAGCCGAGGACCTCTCCAGCGCCCCAGCACCAGCGCCGACATAAGCGACTACATCCCGCTGCAAGCCGGTCGCGAAAATGTGCACGAACCCACCCCCTTCGACGTCCTCGAATGGCTCTCCGTCTTCTACGGCCAGAAAGTTCCTCCGCTGCCCGTGATGCGCGCGCGAGATATCGAAGAAGTTCCTGATCAGAGACTACGGGAAACCATGGAGGAGTATCAACTCCTTACCCCGACGGTGAAGGGCATGAAATTAAATCCCTTTACCGAAATTGGGATTGAGGGATTTCCATTGATTGAGGATACGATGTTTAATATCGTACGCAGCTATCCGGCTGATGAGCAGTATCAGGGTCCGCATAATTTGATTTGGTTGGTGTCGAATTCGTATTGGAGAGCGGGTAATTACATACTTTACTAGAAATCTTCCCTCTCTGTCTCTCTCATGAAAAACAAAATGAAATAAGCGAAAATACTAACACAACTCCAGTGGCCTGGGCCATCTACGGCAACTGGGAACTCTGGCCGCACGTAAAAGCCCATCACCGCATGGTGTTCGACCAAGTGCTCGCCACCCCCAAACATCCCCGACACATACTATACCATCGGCTGAACGAAAAGCGGAAAGGTCACAACAACCTCAACATCAAAGAGCGCCTCGGGATTCCCTACTGCGCCATCCGGCACGACGACATCCAGCAGGTCACCGCCGATATGTACGGCATCTGCCTCATCATCTTCACATGTCGACCCGCAGGCCAAACGGTGAACATTCCCGGCTTCAGTACCGACCAATCCCCTCGCCACTTTGCGCCGACGATCCGCGGAGAGTTCAACCGACCGCATAAATTCATCCGACTCTCCATCGGCATGGTGCCCGGAAGATACAGGCAACACGCCGATGCGAATCTGTTGCCGCTCTGGCAGATGTACGAGCCAATGATGCTCAACATACCGAATTTTCGACACTCGGATTTCAAATACGTACGTCCGATGTATGAGAATACACGGGGGTCATTACCCTTGACTGCGTCCCTGCGGCCGATGGATTACGACGGGGTGAATCATCCGTGGAGGGCAGTGAATGTTGCCTGGGCCGACGGGTATGGTGGTCAACAAAGGGGACTTCCCGATGCGCTTACACAGCCGGCGAATTGGCCCGAGGCGTTTCCGCGAAAACCAATGTCCCTTACGATTGCGATGGGATGTGTACTTTTGAAAGATGGTGATCCCAAGGATCCACGCTCTTGGGGTCATGATTCGCGTAAGATCGTGTGGATAAGGCCGGACAAGCCAAAGGGAGGTCAAATCGCACCGAGACCAGTATAGTAATTGCTATGCAGAAATGGGGGTATTATCTTCATAATCTTTTGCAATCAGCAAGGAGGTCTTTTTAATCTAAATATCTTTTCTAGAGTTTTAGCTGACGGAAAGGAGTATCTTTACTGAGTTTGTAAATTCGATTTAACAATCATATCTTATGCAATCGTGTAACACCATTCGATTTAATAAAATTAACCCCTTAAAAATTAAGAAAACAATAAAAAATCTATGCTCTTTCTCCAAGATTATACAGCAGCAATACAACTCTAGTCAAGAAATACAGGGATCCACTTGGAGTATATAGATTATGATCAGATAATTTACGAGGTACATTCACGATTCAAATAACGAGACTTTCAGAACCCGAATCCTGACAAATTCAAATCTCAAGTAGTATATATTCCGCATCATTCATACACCCCTCACCCTTACCAATTATTCATAATATCATATCCCTCGAGTTCTTTAAGCCATTCCCCCGTAGCACCTCAGTATCCCAAGGTTATTTACATATAAGCACTTGCGTACATCTCTCTCTACGGGTTGGGTTTGGCGAGGAATATAAGATGGGAATTCGGGTTGTTGCTGTTTCAATGGAAGATCTACTCATCAATATTTTGATTTTTACATCAATTAAATGTCCCCAATGTCGATACAGGGTGATTGACTACTATTCCTAATCATCGAACCAAGAGGGAAGATAAGCTCGGCATGTTCTTCCAATTCACGGCACAAAAATTTACACGAGGGCTGCGCGTTGCTGTACACACGACTGACTACAGCCCCATCAGACTTGGCTGCAAATAATAAGTGTGCTGAATTGCACTAAAGGTCTCAATTTGATGTAATATACGAGTAAACAAGAAGACGAAGTGCATCAGAGGGAAGCTTGAAAAATGATGGGAAGGAAAACTCGGGTACGATGTAGAGATTACTTACAATCTACACTCGACATCATGTCATTAAAGTTTACTCGAATATTACATGGCAGCACATGAGAAAGAAAGGGGGAAATATTGAAAAGAATTTTTGTTAATATGGGGGAGTTTCCATTTTTTTTCAAAGGAGAGTTGTTGCGTTTTGTCATGTTTTTGGATTTTTGAAATAATGAAAAATGCAAAATTTTAGGACATCCCATAACAAATGAAATAATGAAATCTAAGTATTCGCATACTTTATTACAAATGAAAAATGGAAGATGTTACCATTGTGTTTTTTCCGAAATTGCGAGCGGGGTCGTCAACGTCTTGTGTGAGTTTAGGTGGCGCGTGTTATGGCAAGTCTCATTGGGGCAAGATGATTTTCAGGGACATCTTCATCTTCTCTATCTTTCTGCGGCTTTCCAAACTTTTCTTTGAATGAATCCAGCCAGTGAGTAGTTTCCATGTGCTTTCTTAGATCCCTCTTTTTGCCTCTGAAGTCATGGCCACATAGCTTGCAAACGGTCTCCGGTTGATTTTTGACCTCATGGACGTGCAAAACATGAGCTCTCAAAGTAGCGGGATGGGTAAATCTGGCATCACAGCCTTCAACAGAGCATACACAGCTGTTTTCCGCGTGAATAGTTTCCATGTGTATAACAAGACCAGGTTTGGCCGCGAAAGGTTTTTCGCAGATTTTGCATGGGAATTCGCGAAGGTGAGTATCTATGTGGCAGTTCAGGCTTTCTAGAGTACTTAGCTTGCGATTACAACCAAGATGAGAACATGGAAAGGTTCCATGGTAATTCTTGACATGGAGATTGTAAGTGTGCACACTGGCGTATGTGCGGTTACACTCTTCACACTTGTTTTTGATCTCTCCATGAATCTGCTCGACGTGTTTGTTGAGATCAGTTTTCTGGGAGAATTTCTCATCACACTTTGGACATGGATAGTATTGGCTTGAATGTTTAGCCAATTTATGAAGACCCAGAGAGCGCTTGTCACGTAGATGCTTTCCGCATGAAGCGCAGATACAAGTCAAGCCGCTGGCTTTTTGACTGGATTTCTGAATTCTGTTACTCATCTTGACAAGTTGTATGTTTACTATGTAAGTCTTGATAACCGAATAAGTTTAATACTACCGTTGTGTGAATGAGTGGATGTTGTTTTTGCTGTATGAATTGAAAGCGAATTGATGGAATTACCTTGAAGGAATTCTGCAAGTTTTATGCAAACAAAAGCGGCCTGTTCAGATGTAAAATTGTTTTACTCTTGGGTGAACCATCGCAAGTACAAGCGCAGTACAATGCCATTGTATTTTTGTAGAAGTATTTCCTTGTTCCATGTCGGCAACAGAGACAGGATCGAGAACTGAACAATCCCTTGTCAGAAGTTATGATTTAGCACAAAGATGACTGGCAAATTCGACGGGCTTTAGCCTTATTAGTTTCTGCATTAAAATCGAGACGATTGTACATTTCAGTAGATATCATTTACAAGGTGAGATCTTATGCTGCTTCGTACCCCACATTCGACTAGTACAAGCTCGAGTAAACATTTGCAATGCTCGTCGTCATCTCATTAATGTAAAACGCATCACGTGATACTCGATATATTTTCGGGAACACAACCCCAGATTAAGCAAGGGAAACGAATTGTTTCCGTCCGATGTGTAGATCAAACAGCGTGAGACATCGAGGGTTCATCCCACCTATTGAGGAGGTTCTACTTTCCATGACTCCATGGATAAATGCAATTGAAGGCATGATGACACATGACGAGGTTGCATGCTGAATCTCCATATTGATATTCATGCCAGGAATTTCAAAAGATAAGCAAGTAAATGCAACAGACGAAAGGACAAGCAAATGCGTCTCGTAAATTCATCTCAACTTAAAATGATTTGATGAATGAGCGCGAAAATTTCCGATACATCATCTGTTTGAGCAACCCACACGCTTTGTGCAACATGGTCTCAAGTTGGACGACCCCTCATTACGACAATATTATTTGATCTGAGGAAGGAAGAGATGATATGAAAGGATTGGATGGCGGAGTTGGGAACCAAGAATGGAAAGTTTGAGAGATGCGCAAAAAGGCTTGTTTCGAGCATGTACAGAAATGGAGAAAATACATGGCGCAGCATGGATTTGGAGGGCAGGAAAAATAACGTTATCCACCATTCTCAAGCTTCTCAAGCTTGATTATGAGAGTCGTGACTCGTGAAAAGAGCACTTGTTTGATCCTCAATAAGAATGATTTCTCCAGAATGGTTTGATCAGCGAGTATAAGAAATACTATTCCTTTTGTTTCGCGTAATGGATTTTGGTGGTCAAAAAGTTCAGGAAGAGGATTTTTGAGTAATTGGTGAGGGTATTCAACTTCCAAGCTTGGTTTTAAATCTCCGCTCGACCGCTCTTCAACCAATAAGGAATCCTTTGGATAAATTTCAAAGGACCTTCAAGGCTGCAGCAGTGCATTCGGGGAGAGTTGGTACCTTGGGTATGGTAACATTTAACCGCTCCAAATAGATGGCATCTTATCTCATCTCATCTCATCTCGTCTCATCTCATAAATATAGATTGGGGAAGAGGCTGAGATATTATTTGAATATCGGAAATTTCCTCTTGCTGCGGTGCAAAGGAATCATTTTGAATTGGATGTACCAGTAAGAGACCGACGGGAAGGAGCATTTTTGGCTTACACACGTGGCACACAAGTGAGGTAGGTACCTAGGTAGGTAGATAGGTAGCACTGGGCAGTAGATCTAACAATTGTACGTAGGAGGGAATACGCAAGAAGATGATGGAAAGGGTACCTACCTAATACCTAGGTACTATCTACTACCTTACTAATCAAGAGTCATGAGATTTTCCTTTTCCTCCCATGGATAATTCTTCCTGATGTGCGGAATATGAAGAACATGAACTGTGAATCGGATCTTTTCCTAAAATTCATTAGGAGTGAGGAAAGGAAAAAAAGAATTACTCCAATGAATCATCTTCACGTGTTCTTTTACGGTCCTTTTATCGAACCCATGGAATGTGTTGTTGTGTTGTCGCCTTGTCGCCGTTGAGCCGAGTACAGTATCGTGTCTAGATTGGACTAGATACGTAGGTACGGTAGATTGTTAGTTGAGTCTGAGTCGGATCAATCACGTCAATATGCACCATGAAAATGCTTTTCATTGAATTTTCTTTCTTCACTCTACTTTATTAGTCAGGTCCTCTAGTCAGGTACCATTTTAACTTCTAAGGCTGAAATTTTATTGGAAGTTTTTAACCATGAATTAACCAAGAATTAACCGCCAATTCAGGTTAATTCAGGTACCAGTTTTTACAGAGAGATCCACTTAAATTTCGCTTGTCTTCCGAAGCGCCTATAAAACGAGATTTGTCTCATAATAATCCTTACTAGCCACACATCGGATCCTCGCCGTATCCTTGTCTTTCGCGTTCAAATTTAAGATTACGGCTGATTGTGGGGATGAGCTTTAGCTTTTGGAACTGGACGAACCGGACGGTATTGCAGTAAGGATGAAATGACTAACGGAAACACGCTTTTTCTGTTGTCTTGACTTTGCATCTGGACTCTGGACTGTTGAGTCCTGACTTCCTCTACTGGACCCATTACATGTGAATGAAGTGTAACAGAAGTGAAGCTTAGCACTGCTCGATGTTTTAGAAAGTGCAAAGACTGAAGTTTGAGACGATAAGAAGATAAGTCGACAGAAGAAAGAGATTTCGCATGCCAGGCGATGAGCTTCACAAATCACGATTCGTGAATGTTCAAAGTCAAAAAGGAAATGAAATGAAATGAATTATGACGATTAGCCATGGAGATGGGAAGATACGGTGTAGCGGTACTCCCGCATACATCCACGGTACAAACTTAACAGACCAACTCAAAATCCGGAGATTGATAATGTTCAACAGACTTCATTTTATTTTCATTTGTATGATTGTATGACAGAAACTTACTTCTTCCTTGCTCGTATTAGATTTCTCCCCATTGCCCCATTCACTTGATATTAACAATAGGAGAAAAGAGTCAGTTGATTTGATCGCTGAGATTAATTTTTATATTATCAATTCAACTTTATATCTTCCATTGCGGTGTAATACCATGTGGAATCTTATGGATTGCCTCTTTTGGATATAATCATAGAGATCTAGATTGATGTGTTCTAGGATTCCTTATGGTACAATGGACCATTTCCCACTCATTTGTCAAGCAGATCAAGCATATCAACCAAGTCAACCAAGTCAACCAAGTCAAGCGTACACTCAATTATTAGCCGGGCCAAGCTTCTCTACTTCCCCTAGTCAACCTGCGAAATTCACCGATTCCAACGTAACGTGGGCACTGAGCAGAAAGAAAAAGAAAAAACAAAACGTTGTCAGTTTACCCCCAATCCAATCACGGGCCACCTTTAGTAGGAAAAGACGTAGATCCACTTCTACTCGACCGCTCGCGCTCGCTCAGATATCTTCTTCATCTTGCGCCCCAATACTTCTTCCTTCTTCTCTCTCTTCTAACAACACACACCTTCATTAATCCCAATACCTGCAGCTTGCTTCAGACAACTCAATCAGACTTCGTTGGCAAAGTCTACAATCATTCAAAGTATATCTCAAGAAAACATACTCCAGACATCTATCAGATTCACTCACCATCATTCGATATCTACCCATTCACCAAACACAATACCCTTTTGACCTATTGTTCAAGGTTTGAGTCTATTGACCCAAAACACTCCACTTTCGAAACAATATCAAACATTATCTGCGCTTTGATCAATATCTTTCTGATATACATCTTCCTCCTCGAAGCAACTACCCACCAACGACTACTCAAATCTATTTAACGTTGGTTTCGATCCTTCAAAAACTATAACACACACTCCTCTCATACAATTACTTTCTTGTCAATAAATTCAAAAATCTTTACTCAAGAACTTTTTCCAAACAACCACATACACAATGCAGTTCCACGGTCTCACAGCATTGTTGCTTTCCCTTTTTGTCGCATGTGTATGCGCACAATCAGTTACCTCCACCACAACCTTCACATCTACATCTACCCACACTCGCACCATTACCGTATCTGAAGTCGTCGCATCTGTTACCTCCACCTACTCCACCTACAACACCTCTGCAATTGCACCTACCGGATCCGTTGGAACCATCATCGCATCCACAACCTCAAGAATTGGCGCATCAACAGCCTCTGCCGTACCAACCTTTGTCGGCGCAGCTTCAAATGTTCAAGCAAGCTATGGTGTAATGGGATTGTTTATCATGGCTGTTGCAGCGTTGCTGTAAACAAACAGATGATGAGACAAAAGAATGCGGGTCCATCTAGACGGCGCCGATCATGTAATTGATTGATCGTCATTCCTGCCCTATGGCATCTAGATCTTTTCTTGGAATGCGTTTCCAAAAATACCCTCTCTTCATCTCCCCAAAATAAGAAAAATTTCACACATGCGAAATCTTCGATGCGACATCTCATCACTTCAGTTTACTCTTCACACTTCTTTTTTTTTAACGAAAATTACCCCCCTTTTACGGCTTGACGATACCTTTTTTATTCTTTTTTGATTTTACTTCTCACGCCAGAAAATTTCATGCTCGCTTTTTTTGATCTTGTTTTCTCTTTTCGACGGAGCACGAATACCCCCGATTAACGATTAAAACATGCCCTCACACATATCTTTGATTCGTTACCTGGAGTTTTTTTCGATTCATCTTCTTTCTTGGTTACTCCCTCTATCCATACCTTGAAATTCCGATACGTTGATGCGTATACTGCGATGTCACTTGTGATAATCTAAACGTATGCTCTTTACTATGAATACCTGTCATATTGCAATGACTATTCACAATGAAGAGTACGTGTTTTGGAATTGGTATAGGTACGGGGAATCATGATGTGATTTATTTGGATCCTTTTTATATTTGATTTATGGATGGGTGGCTTGATTTGCATTGGCGGTCATTGGCATGGAACAATATTTACACCACCTTTTTTGTTGTATACTCGCCGCTGATCGGCTTGAGGATATTGGAAGAGGATGGGATT